GGGATTGTCACAGGCTGTACAGTATCAGTAATTCTATTCTCGGCAGCCATGAATTTGATGGTGAATTCGGTGGAGAAGATGAGCAGAGGACCGTGGATGAAGGCAGGCGTGAGACAGCCCCCTGTCATGCAGAGCGTTCATGGACGATATGACAATAAGCACAAAGACCATCACAGAGGCAAAATGGACCTTGAAGGAGATAGAAGATATCATCAGTTAGGCCCGTATGAAGATCAAGCCAACAAAGTCTAGGAGCCTCGTATTGAAAAAGGGGAAAGTCACAGGAGAGAATTTCAGGCTGGGAGAAGAGATTATCCCATCAGTCTCAGAAAAACCGGGCACTTGACAGGTCAAGTGCCTGGGAAAGTTCTTTGATGATTCACTGGGAGATAAACAGAATGTTAGTGACACCAGTAATCAACTTGATAACTGGATGAACACCATAGACAAAAGTGCTTACCAGGAAAATACAAGGCATGGATATACCAGCACGACGTACTTCCAAGAATTCTTTGGTCTCTACTTGTGTATGATGTGTCACTGACATCAGTTGAATCGATGGAGCGACGGATCAGTGGGTACCTTAGAAGATGGCTGGCGGTTCCCAGAAGCTTTAGCAGCATTGGTTTTTATGGCACAATTGACGTCAATCGTCGAGGAATTCAAGGTCACCAAGGTCAGACAGTTTCTGATGTTCCGTGACAGTAATGATTCCAAGGTACGGGAGGCAAAAGTGAACATCAAGACGGGCAGAAAGTTGTCAGCAAAGAAGACAGTACAAGAGGCAGAGTCACGCCTGAGCAAGCCGACATTGTGGGAAGTGTAGCAGTAGGCAGGCAGGGAATAGGAATAATACCATCGACAAGATGAGGTACATCGTCAGAAGTGGAGAAGAGGCAACTTGTGCAGAAAAAAGTGCCTAAAATGGAAGAGCACATAAGAATGGTGAAGCAGTTGGTATGAAGAAGCAGGGAAGCTGGCTAAACTGGGAAGGAGCCCGGCAGAAGAAGTTATCTTGGAATGAGATCTGGATAACAGAGCCCCAGAGACTGCAGTTTCAGCTTAAGTCGGTTTACGACATTTGCCAACCCAAACCAATCTAACAACATGAGGCATGAGGGACGACCCAAAATGCAATCTTTGTGGTAGACCAGCCAACCTGGAATATATTCTGTATTCATGTTCAGTAGCCTTAACATATGGAAGTTATACATGTTATACGTGGAGACAGGGCAAAGTTCTATCTGTTATTGCACATGTGCTGGAAAAAGCAAGGAAGAATCCATGGAAGACCAAGGAAGGCTTGAAGTTTGTAAACTTTGTAGAGGCTGGTGAACAGAGTCGTGCTGGGGTAATGGAAGGAGGTGGACTGTTGGGGACCGCCAGTGACTGGGAAATGCAAGCAGACCGCAAGGGCCGTATGTAGTTTCCACAGGAAATAGCATCTACCAACCAGAGTCCAGATATTGTTATTTGGTCTCCTAGAGCCCGGCTTGTTATATTGTTGGAACTTACAGTGCCGTGGGAGGACAGAATTGAAGAAGCCCATGAGCGGAAAATGAATAAGTACCAGGATCTAGTTGCAGACTGTCAACAACGGGGCTGAAGAGTATGGTGTCTCCAAGTGGAAGTTTGAAGCCGTGGATTTGTAGGGCAATCTATGAGGAGGGCCTTGCGGATTGTCGGTGTAACAGGCACTGAGAGGCGGCAACTCATTTGACACCTGGGCAGAGAGGCAGATATGGCATCCATGTGGATATGGAAGAAGCAAGAGGACAGTGGAAAGTGCAACACTAAGACTCTATGTGTGAATGAACATTCAGTGTGTTGCAGTGAAGGCGGAGAGCTGAGTGGTTCCGGATTGGGACTTGATCATCCCAGTCGGCGTACCTCTGGAGGTTGTAGTGGACAACGCCGAAACAACCATTGAAGGAGGATCCACCTGATGATTGGACCATGACGCATCATATACCACCAAGATGTATACAGGTATCTACATACTTCAGCAATTTGTAATTTTAAATTCAAAACACTGAATCCTTCTGAGGGAGTTAATAATCAGGTCCAAATAGGTCCGGATTTTTCGGTACCAAACATGGAATCACTATCAGTTCTACATGTTAGAGAATAGTCTTTATTCGATTTGCGGCCAAAAACTGAAGGGTCCGATTAAATATCCAAATTGTAGAAATTTAAGTAATTTATGGTTAGACAGTTACATGTATATTGCTACGTTCTATTGATAACGTTTTCTGTAATCAATATTCAGTACTAGTATTTTATTTTTCCTCATTGTGAAATTCTGATAGCAATTGCAGTTTTGAAATTTCGTATATGAATCTGTCAAAGCGACTTTTCATTTTCAAATCTTTAAGATGTGAACGTTCAACCATTTTTTGAATTCTCACACAAAATTTAAAAGCGATCTATGAAAAACATGACTGAAGCCACAGGCATAATGGTTCACTTTGCATTTACTTAATGTACATATATAAATAATGTTAAGCATAGTACACATGAGTATGCACATATTTACACGAGTCATTTATGAACAATGCATATGCCTCCAATGTTTTACTCAAGCAAAATTGGCATTTTGGAGCATTCCAAATTTTAATGTGTTTATACTGAATAATGAATTTTTTGCGTTCTTTCCTATACCACAGAATGGTTTTGTGATCTCGAGCAAACATATCGTTGTGGCCAGGAGGATGGCCGTTTGAAAACATACAGATACTGAGTAAGTGTAGAGTGACCATATTCATGCTTACAATGTACCACAACGTCACAAACCAACGAGAGAGGACTGATATGACACACTCATGGGTTATCGATGATGAATGTACCACAGTCTCCAGAAAACGTTCAAGCAGAAGCAATGCTAACCCGTATTTGAAAAGCAATAGAAGGACGGACAATCCTAAAGGTATCATACTGTCGTATAATTGTCGTCCTGATGGTGGGGGAATGAGAGGCTGAGGATACAATATTACTATCTTTGTACACAAAGACTCATGAGGAGTTCGTTTGCCCAGGTCTCCCCATAAAGTGGAAAAGGAATACACAGCATACCATATGAACAGATGAAGATCTATCTGTAGTTTAACCAGAGGTCTCTGATGAAACAATAGCTCTACAGCAAAGAAAGAGAAAAGAAGTACTTGGACTTGAAACTATGCAACAGCAATAAATAGAATTAATTTAGTTTCTTTTTGTGGCAAGATTTATTGCAATCAGACTAAAACTGTAGAAGGAGTAATGTTTTGCAAGTATTTGACAGAAGTTTCTATTCTTAGTAACCAAGGCAACACCGCTCATCTAAATAAAAAAAAAAATGAACAGAATTATGTACCTTAGCAAGATCATCACCTTAATTTGGAAAAACAGGTATCATCGGTCGTCAAGTCATGCTATTTCCATATAGGCAATATTGGACGTATACGGCGCTTTCTTACAAAAGAAGCCTGTAAGCTTGGTAAGACCCTGGTGAACGCCGTAATCACTGCCAGATTGGACTATGGGAACTGCCTGCTATATGGAGTTTCAAAGAACACACTAGAACGGATGCAAAGAGTCCAAAACACTGCAGCTCGTTTGGTAACAAGATCGCCGAAAAGGGAGCACATTACTCCTATTTTAGCAGATCTTCATTGGCTACCCCTTTATTTTTGGCCACAATATAAAATCTTGACATATGTCTACCAATAAAAACACGGGTTAGCTCCATCTTATATTGAGGATCTTATAATTGAATACAAGCCCGCCAGATCACTGCGATCTGAGTCAACATCGCGGTTAGTTGTTCCAAAAATCAAGACAAAGACATATTGCAAACGTCGGCTCAGTTGGGCAGCAGCGTTTTTGTGGAACGACCTTCCAAATGACATAAAACAGGCCCAGTCCCTGGACATTTTTAAAAGATATTTAAAGACACATTTTTATAGAGTAGCTTTTCAAATACTTGGAGCACACATTTTAGCAACAAATCTCAAAAGATTTTCTAATATTCAGTTTTTTAATGACGTAATTGTATGCATGTAACTTTATAATTTTAATGTTATATTTTCTAATACACATATGTTAAATTACATGTAATAAATCTATTCTTAGTTCTTAAATTATGTTTATTGCGTTTTATTGCACAGCGCTTTAGAGTAATTTTATTAATATTTAGCGCTTTATAAATTTATTTTATTATCATTATGAAATGTGAAGAAGGACTTCACTCGGGAAAACTTACTACTTATTTTATGTTTTATAAAGAAAATTTTACAATGGAAAACTATATATATATATCAAATCTTATGAAATAAGAAAATCTTAACGTAGATTTAGAATAAGTGCTCATGTCTTAAGAACTGAAAAAGGTAGATATGAATCTGTGAAAAATAATATTGGTCAAAGAATTCCTTTAGAGAGAAACAACAGAACATGTTTGGTATGTAACAAAAAATGTACAGAAGATAAATGTCCATTATATAATGAGGAGAGAATATATTTTTTCACAATATCTCATCGCTTAACAAAAATTTAAGATTATTAACCAAAAAAAAAAAAAAAAAACAACAACAACAACAAAACAAAAAAAATTTATATGGTTAATGTCTAATAAGACTAATTATTATAAAGTTAAGTGAATATCTTATCAAAGCTTTCAAAAAAAGGCATAGTGCCATAAGTTTACACAAATGAATAATTTTGAATACTTTACATACAGACTGTATGGTATTCATTTTACTTAGTTGCATGTACAGTTAACATGAAATGTTCTGGATACATATTTGTATACTGGTATATATTGATAATACAGGTTTATGATCATATGTCAATTTGACAACCCCAACTGCTCCACCTACAGTTACTTGTATATATTATATCATGTATATGCATTTATATACGTGTGTGTGTCTATCTGTGTGTATGTAACCTTTAACATGCAAAAATACTTCACAATGGTGAAAAGAATGCAAATTTGAAATTATTCAAGAATGCTGAAATCATTTTGTACTACCAATATTTTTATTACTAGGTTCAACAAGCACAACATTCAGAATTTCTAATTTATGATTCAATTTTTTGTTATTCAAGCAGTAAATTCTGTACAAATTTAAACCATAATGCCAGTAAGCATTAGCTTGGTTCTTTAGTAATAAGGCCCTCAGATACTAGAAAATCATACAATTTCCTGGTTTTGTTTACATCTATTTTAATCAATGTTCTGGCTTGCTGTAATCGAAGGAAGTTATTTCGTTTACATTCTCCCACAAGGATTTCTCTAAATTCCAGGTAAGCTTCCGGTACAAGTCTCACGCTAGCACATAATTCTCGCTCCTTCTTTGAAAGCCTTTCATAGCCGGGCAGCCCCACAATATCCATGGGTGGGGCTGACCTTCTAGGGGCTGAAGGTAGGGGTAGATTTGCTGTCCCTTTTGACATTGTATCCAGAACTGCTTGTTTGTGAAGCCATGACTGACATGCAGCTTCATCCTTCATATGAACAAGGATATCATCTAACAAATGCCTTCTCGATTTCATCTCATTTCTACGACTTTTCAGAACTCTGAATATTTTAATGCTCCTCTGTTTGGTTATGCCATTTTCCCTACATTCTATTAGCTTCTGAATGTTTTTCCTTAATTCAAATTGCAAATTAAGAGCTTGTGAAAATTTATCAAAACCTTCAGGGCTACACAGTCTCATAAAAGGCCTGAGCTGATCCAAAAGGTCCTTTAATCTAGTAGGATACATCCCATTATCAAGCCGGTGTTTCCTGATGTTGATTAATCCGTATTTACGAATAATCTTCCTTCTCCACCATCGATCTCTTAAACAGTTCTGATAAACATCTATGACCTCAAATTTCAACTTTTCTTCCAAGTCATCTCTTTCCTGGATTGGTGCTTCATTGAAATCAATAGCTCGTAGCTCCAGTTCCATGAAATTGTCATGCTCCACATTAAAATCACCCCTCCCCGCCATGTAACCTCCCATCAACTGGAAGATCTGTGATGAGTCAGGATATCGGGGAGGATCATCACACAGCTTGTACACAACTGGACATGGAAATCTCTCGAGGTCAGCTTCGGGAAATTGTGGCAGCTCGGGGTTAGCCTGGTTTATGAACCACTTGTTATAATGTTTCTCCACTTCAGTCTTTCCCCTCACTCTCATTCGTTGGGCCACATCCTGCCAGTTGCCATAGCCACAATCAGCCATTACTTTCAGAAGAGATAGCTCTTCTGCTGCAGACCAAGAGTTTTCAAACAAAGGGAAGTCATCCCTGACAATGGTGTAGGAATGGTCATTCTCATGGTCTCCAAACTCTGCCCCTTTAGAGAAACATTGAAGACAAATTTTCACTGCTCCAGAGCATTGTTTACACAGGATGTATGGAGTGTTTAAAGTCAACGAGCACTTAGGACAAGATATATCCTCCTCCTCATCCATACTTAAATCTCACAAGTTTGTAATTCTGCTTTTATCCAGTAATCACTAATCAGTAATCAGTAATTAAAGCAAAAGCATTCAATATTTTAATCTCTTAATTATCTGGTAATTTAGGTCCACCTTTGTGATAATTTCCAGAAACTTCTGCACCAGAGAAATCAAAGCCTGGATTCTGAAAAAATTATAAAGAAATGAGGGGAAAAAAACAAATGAAAGCATTAAATTGCTGATTCAATGTATAAAAAATAACAAGATATGTTCGTAAAACACTGATGCCCCATGTGGCAGCTCATGGCAGAGTGAGAGTATTTTAAAAGTAGGTCAAACTCCAAGGTCAAAGGTCAAAGTTTGAGGTCATAAATGTTGGTACCCAAAGAAAGGTCTTGTCACAAGGAATACATATGTGAAATATGAAAGCCCTAGCACCACTTGTTCAAAAGTTATGGCCAATGTTAAAGTTTTTCAAAAGTAGGTCAAATCCAAGGTCAAAGTCATGAGGTTATCATGTTGTTCTGGGGTTATATAAATTTGCCTTTACAAATGAATACCAATATCTTTTGCTGCTGTCCATAAATTTATCAACGAAATCTAACGATTTTAAATTGCTGTGTTATTTCACAGATTTTTTCCCTTATACATAAAACTTGGTTATAACGAAGTTCTGGAGACCTGGGAATTTACCTCCCCATATCCGTAATTCGTTGTATCCGTATAACGAATTCCTTAAAGTATACATAGCGAATTTGCAATATAGATTTCTTTATTCAAGTATGACTACCAAATGTATTTAAGGAGGTATACAATACAAAATTTACCTTGGAGTTAAAAAGTTTTTGAATGAATTGAGGTTCAAATATAAATACATGTACTTACAAAATTGATGTCAGTTCAGTATCATAAAAATTAAGACCTTTGAAAATTTGCTATTAACTTTTTTAACTTCTAGGGGACTCAAAATCATATCGCTATAACTGTAAATTTGCAATAATTCTGAGTTCATTATATCCATAAAACTTTACAAGGAATTGCTAAGAATTCCGCCAGGGATCACAAAAAAAATTCGCTGTATCCTTAAATTTGCTATATCCATAATCGTACTAAACAAGTTTTACTGTACAGCTTGAAACATTTTACATTTCTAAGAATTATTCTGCATATCATATTGCTATATTTAAGGAGGGGAATTGGTAAGTTGTAAAAAACTTTCTTATCCTTTTGGATAATTCAATATGTTCAAAACAAAACAAATTCTTGAGGTAAAAAAAGTTGGTATGTATTAAAGAAAGGTCTTGTCACAAGGAACACACATGAATTATAAAGGCCCTAGCACCAATCACTCAGAAGTCATGGCTAAGGTTAAGGCTCTGCAAAAGTATGTGAAACTCAAAGGTCAAAGTCATGAGGTCAAAAATCTTGGTATCCAAAGAATGGTCTTGTCACAAGGAATAAACTTTTGAAATACGACAACCCTGGTAATAACCATTCAGAAGTTATGGCAAAGGTTAAATTTTTCAAAAGTAGGTCAAACTTTAAGGTTAAGGTCATGAGTCAAAATGTTGAAACCCCAAAAAAAGGCCTTATCACAAGGAATACACATGTAATATGGAAGCCCTGGCACCAACTATTCAAAAGCTATGGCCAAGGTTAAATTTTTTGCAAACAAGCTGACAGTGGGACAGACCAAAACTATATGCCCCAGAATCGCTGATTATGGAGCCTTCACCCCAAATCTCCTATTAGGGAGGCATAGAAAGAATAAAACTAAAAGTTTCAATCTTTACAGAAATATTCATGGAAAAGAAAAGTGCTATAAACCTCAATCTAATTGTATATTACCTCTTGTTGAAACTTTTGTAAAGTGGCTTTTTTCTCCATCTGGTCAAACGTCCAGGGGTCAGTCCTATACTGTCCCACTAGCAGTGAGTCCCAACAATTCTCTGCCACAGCATGACTCTTAGGTAAACACACTCTCAGGAATTTCTTGTCTTCTTGATAAATTGAAAAAAAATCATATCACTATTGTCATGTAGTATTGTTCCTTGTCCAATACAGTATTGTAATGTAATGTAGTATTGTCGTTTTCCAAAAAAAATATTATATAAAGGCATGAATGTAATTATGTGTCACTCCTACAGAATTTTCCTTCACATTTGCTTACCTAGTGTCCACACAGACTCATCAGCATGTATTGTATTTAGTAAGTCTCCCTGAAATAGATATAGATTTTATTTTTTAAAAATATTTCACGCTGAACACTTACACAGAATCAAACATTGTCATGAAGATTCCCGAAAAACTTTCTTTATTTAGAAACATAACAAAGCTCAGACACCTTGACGAATGATACCATTAAGTGAAGGCACATTCTGACACTAAATGATTGTTCTGGTAATGTGCATCCCTAGATGCATCATCCATGCAAATTTGGTCCAGGGCCTGCTCCAAAATTTTAACCTGGTCACTCATCCAGAAAATGTAGGTCAGATCCAGCATTTGAAGCAGGTCTGGTAGTGCCCATCCCTAGAATCAATTTATCATCATCAATGCAAGTTTGGTCACCACATGGCTTATAGTAACTTGTTAATGGACCTCCTCAAAAAGTTTCAACCTGGTCACTGAAACTCATCCAGAAAATGTAGGTCAATGCCAGCATTCGCAGCAAGTCTGATGATGTATCATTTGTGCAAGTTTAGTCCAGATACACTTATAATTACTCTGGACAGACTTGCTCTTAAAACTTTAACCAGGATGCCAGTGCCAGGGGTATAGCACAAGCTCATCTTGACTTTGTTGAGGTTCTGAAACTATTATCTGCATTCACTACAATAGTCATGTGATGTCAGTTTTCATAACTAACAAAAACATGGATGAGCAGCTTTTGGGATGCACTTTGGTACATGCATGCATGGATATTTCAGTATTACAGATCAGACATCTTGTCTTACTTTTAATGGAAATTAATTCAGATGAAAATTTACCTTTTGAGTTCACATATTATAAAGTTACATGATGAATAAACTTGCATTTTCTTTATGTGTGCAAGATCTTCATTTGCTTCCGAAACAGAGGTGCCCCCTTTTTCTTCAGTGTAAAGTTTATTCGTTCATTGGTGTTTCGAGTGAGTCTTTCTCCTTCTTTAATTTATTCGTTTATTAGGTATTTGACCATACTGTTTATTCTGTACCATTATGTAGGCCACAAGATTGACATCTGAATGTTACACTTCTTTAAAAGGAACCTTGCCAGCAGATGTTTACATACTCGATGTTATGTAAATGATAGCTAGACTACATATATAAGACTCTTCATATGAAGTCATTAAAAACTGTTGTGAACTTCATGAAATAAACTTAACTATTCTATTTATAGTTTCTTTAAGCTATATTTTTTTCCTAGACCTGTATTTGTTTGTTACATCTGCTTTTATACTATATACCTCAATTACTGTGTGTCCCTTCACCGTTATTCTAATGTGTTTGGGAGAGATTGTACACTTGATGTCTTTGGCTGGGGTCCCCTCAGGCACATTTACTTCTATGTATACTTCCTCATTGGTCTGCCACCACTGTCCCCAGTCTGTTTTACAAGGGATGTAACCACTTCTCTCGTCAAAGTGGGCCATGCTATAATTTTACGACATTAGGTACAAGGCAAAATTTCGCACTGAAAATGAATATTCCATTCAATTTTTATTAATAATTTGTTCTTATATTTATTTAGATAACATTAATCTAATGTTACTTAGATGTGACAACGCTTTCAATATACCTTGCACGTGATTTAACGACAACCGGAATTAAAGTAATCGTGTTTACGGCAGAGTCCGCCATGTGGTCGTACAAATAAGTTCTAGTTGCAAGAAGATGTCATCATCACTACATGAGTGACGTTAACTTGTGAAACATTTGAGTTAAATACTATTTATGAATTGTAAAAAGTGCAGAAGTACAAAGAGCAATGATAGCTACTGTTCAAGCTAAAAATTAATAAATTTTTGCAGTCCATCTGGCCACCACCTTCACACACGTTACAGCCTGAAGAATGGATGTTCTTGAAAGAAAAAGTACTGCTAAACTGACGGAACTGTTACAGATTGAGAAGAGAATTCAGAAAAAATGGGAAGATGAGAAAGTATTTGAAGAGGATGCCCCACTTCCAGGGACGAAAGAAGCTTCGTATGAAATTTACTTCAGTAGTCTGATAAATTCAATATGTTTTGAAAAATATATTATAGAATATGGAAAAATATTTATCAATTGGATAATTTTTATCATGTAATAGTATACTTACCATGCCTAGCTATTGTGTTGGCAACTGCCATAAGAGCTTTGTGTTCTGGAAGTAATCAGTCTTTGAACAACATAATCCTTGAAATAATTTATGTCTTTAATATTAAATGGGTCTTCAAGATAGAAGGGAACGACTTTACTTTACCGGTCCCCAGAAAAACACGCTAAAATATAGTGTCACCGTAGGCGACTTCAATATATATGAGATCGCGTGAGCGATCGAAAAAAATGAAAAATATGAGGTTTTAAGCCTTTTGGACCCCAAATTCGAATTCTACAGTTAAAAGTTTAGTTTAACACTTCGTTTTTAAACGAAGTTTTTAACCTCGTTCTCTGAAAAAAAGTAATAAATATTGTTTATTCAGTGAATTAGGAGACAAACATAATTGTGAACGAAGCGTGTGTGGCGCATGCTTAGTGCCGTTTCTTTTGTACTTAGCCATTTTTTTCATGTAAAAAAACCAACGAGATGTCGTTGAAGCTGGATTAAGATCTTGCAAAAAATACAAACGCAACTGAATTTCTTAATTAATCTAAAAGAACAAGACACTAACCCTAATCTCTCGGATGGTATGTGAGGACTAACCCAAATCTCCCAGGCAGATGCTAGACCATGCTAGACTAACCCATGTGGAAAGACTAACCCTAATCTCTCGGGTGGATGCGAGACTAACCCTAATCAGTCAAAAACTTATGCAAGGACTAACCCTAATCTTTCAGGTGGGTGCAAGACTAACCCTAACCAGTCGAAAAATGTGCAAAACTAACCCTAATCAGTTGAGTGATGTAAATCTTACGTCATAGTGCAATGAGCGCGCGGATCTTGCGGATCTGGGGACCGGTAAAGTAAAGTCTACCCGATAGAAGAAAGTAGTCTGGTATTTAGGGGGTGGGGTGGCATGGGAAGTGTGTTAAATTTTAATTTTTATGATTTTATGCAGACAGCCAAAGTATATGGCCACATTTCCGTATCCATACATGAATGGCAGACTTCACCTAGGGCACACATTTACGATATCAAAAGCTGAGGTAAGTAAATAATTTATCACTACTTTTGTGTTTGGATCTGAAACTATAAAACATCTTGCAAAGTTTGTGTCAAAAAGAATATTTTATCAGATATGCAATATTTTTATGTAGTTTGCAGTTGGATATCAGAGACTTCAAGGCAAGAAATGTCTGTTTCCATTTGGTCTTCATTGCTCTGGAATGCCAATAAAGGTAATTAAAGTGTCAAATCTTGTTATCTCGAACTCAAGAAGACAGAAAGAAAACTTCCAAACATCTGAAAATTTGAGATATCAAGGGTAAAATACTTAAAGAATAAGTGTTTGGGACTTCCAGATCACTTCATCATATCCATGGTATTTGATAGAGGTGTAACAATACATCAGTACATCGATCGAATTGATCACAAGGGCTCACAATACGTGTATCCTATCGCCATGTATGTATCATGATACAGTACAAGATAGTTTTCATTGTTTTGTTTGAAACTTATACATACAACCTAACAAAATTTGATGTTCTAAAATGGCTGAAAAAAGGCAGCAAAGAAAAAAATATAATGTCAAGACTATAAAATCCACCTTTTATTAACTTTGGTCAAGATATTCTTTTTATATTTTCTGTAACTGTGGAGGTTAGCAATGAATAATATGTTAAGATAACGGTTAATTCAATTGATGACAGCTGTATCATGATACATGTTGTATCACATGACCACCGCATCGTGATATTTATCGTATCGTTAGGTAGCTTGCGATACTTGGGCCTAGTATTTGAAATATCAATAATCGAAATACTTAAGTTCCACTGTACATAGAACTTCAATTTGAAAATTGCAATAATTCAAATATGCACATTGATACAATGTAATAACAAATATTCCTGTTTTATCATGATCGATTTTATGAATTTATTATGTGTTAAAAAAAAACAATTAAACAAACAAACAAATTCTACAGTTTGATTGCATTGCACAGTGTAACATTTAGGTTACTTTAATATTTACTTAAGCTAGTCAATTCTGCTGATATGGTCTTTAAATAATAATAATTTATATAATTTCATCTCATTTTTATTCTAGGCCAGTGCAGACAAACTAAAGAGGGAGATGAAGGATTTTGGATATCCCCCAGAATTCCCTCCAGAGGAAGAAGAAGAACAAGAAGAGGAAAAGGAAATCACGATTAAAGATAAATCCAAGGGCAAAAAGGTCAGAGTTTGTGTCCGTCAGGGAATAATTCACAGATCTATTGCAGTATTTTCAGAAAAAAACATTTCTGAGTTAAAAAGTTGTCCAATTTTTTCATGTTTGTGCATGTGGTATAGCACATGGTCAGTTGTTGTTTTCAAACTGTTTTTGAAATGCTTTAGAGTAAGCTGAAGGCTAAGACAGGAGGCTTGAAGTACCAGTGGCAGATCATGAAGTCTCTGGGTCTAAAGGATGAGGAAATCAAGGACTTTGCTGACCCAGCTCACTGGTTGAAGTACTTCCCCCCTCATTGTAAGGAAGATCTGAAGAGTATGGGACTCAAGGTCAGAAACAGGGACATATACTCCTATTTATACCCCTGCTCTGAAGGAGAGGGGGGTATACTGTTTTACCTTTGTGAGTCTGTCTGTCCGTCTGTCTGTCTGTCCGTAATAAATTTTGGTCGCAGTTTTCTCAGCAACTACTCATTGCAGATGCTTGAAATTTTAGCACAATCTTTGTTTAGGCATGCCATATGGTAGGATTCATTTTTGTACAAATTCAATGTCAACTTCCTGTTTATCCGTGCATCTGTCCGTACCATACATAACAAATTTTGGTTGTAGTTTCTCAGCACAGATGCTTGAATTTTTAGCACAATCTTTGTTTAGGCATGCCATATGTTGGGATTCATTTTTTTACAAACCCGATGTCAATTTCCTGATTATCACTGTGTTTGTCTATAACCAAACTTGTGTATTCACATCAGAGTGGGGGTATTATTAGTGAGCATTGGCTCACAGACTTCTTGTTTGATAATCAATCACCGTATTAATGTGTTGCTTCTCTGAAAGACTGCTGTAAATAAAACTTTATTCTTGAGAACTTTATTTCTGTGTACTAGTAATTTCTTGAGATTTTTTTCAAGGAAGAAATAAAGATCTTGTGACTATAGAAAATAACTCATTACTGATCATATAGAGGATGAGCAAAAGTTATATTTCTTGAACATTTAATGAGATGTTGTTCCATGAAAAATAAGTTATGCTTAGCAGAAGTAAGAATTTTGAATTTTTAAATTTCATTGAAAAAAAAGATGACATCAACTTGCAGTGAAAGAGCTATTTTCAGTTCATTAAGAGCAATTTTGTAACCCCCCCCCCCCCCCCCTCCATCCCACACACACACACATATCCCTTCTTTGCACTAAAAAACCCCCTAATTCTTTGTAGAGTAATTGTTGTAACTGTTCTCTCTGTATTATAGGTGGATTGGAGAAGGACCTTCATTACAACAGATGCTAACCCTTATTATGATTCCTTTGTGAGGTGGCAGTTTCTCCGACTGAAAGAAAGAGACAAAATCAAATTTGGTAAAAGGTACGGTAGTTGATATGTCCTCCAACTTGTCTGTTTGTCTGTGTGTGGAAGTTCAAAGAGATCTCTGAACTCTGTCATGGTCCAACAATGTAATGTAAAAAAGAAAGTTACATTTTAGAAAATTTTGAAATCTTCCACAGAAACATATTTATATTCCATTTGTATTTTTCTTATAGTATCTTGAAAGCTCTGGCATTCAAAACACCATAACATAAATTGAGTCAAAAAGGTTTATAATGTTTTTTATTTTGATATCACAAACAAATGTTGTAGAAGTGCAACATCTTAAACAAAAATCAGAATCCATGCTCACATTAAACAGTAGCAGGGCTTTCAAAAAGATCAGAAACAGGTGGTACTTTTACAAGAAAAGGTGGTACCTTGTGGTAGGGACTTTAATGAAATATGTTATCAAATTTTCCTCCAGCGACTATTTTTCTACACAAATATTTTGGCCAGTACAGTCATGATTTCAGCCAAGTAAAAGTACCCAGTAATGGCACATTTTGAATGGCCTCGGTAATGACTGCTCCCTCAATTTAGCTATATACAAGTGCGGCATTATCATTTAAACAGGCATAATGTATTAAAGAAGTGATACTTTATGGTTATACCATGTAATCAATAAATGTAAATATAAGTATTGAATTATAAATATTGGACGTTCATCATGTCATAACATTTATGACTATGCAGGTTAATATTCAAAACATGCATTATTCACTTTGTAAGCACAGTCCATGTTATAATCAATGAACATATCTAAATTGTTTCAATTCAGTGCTTTATTGAATTCATTTGGGCATAAAGTCCTGAATTAACGTTAAAAGCCTTTTTTCAGACACACAATATTTTCCCCTAAGGATGGACAGCCCTGCATGGACCATGACAGGCATAGTGGGGAGGTAAGTGATATACTATTTTAATACACATTTTTAGGTGGCCAGATCTTTGATTGAGAATTGTGGTATTCTGTAGAGTTCTGTGTAATTGTATGATGACAATTGCCCTATGGATGAGATACAATGATTCAATCATTGATTAGTCTTACTGACAATTACATAACTCTGACACTGAAATCAGAACAGGGAATGGGAGGGAAAACAGCTCTACTCTGTATACAAGATGTTAGATTTCAACCACTCAACATGGGAGGGATTTTACAATGAATGTTGACATTTTTTTTCTTTCACCTACCTTTTCTCTATCAAATTTGTAAGTCTGCTGGAAAATATCAATACATACATGCCTCGAACACATTGGTTAACGCATGACCTAGTCCAAATGACGATTGCTGACAAGGTGAGCAGTCTACAACCATATTTGAGTTTGAAATAAAAATGTAAGGACTAAGATGCAGATGCATCTGTTGTTCTCTTATTAAAACAGATCTCAATGTAATGCATTAGGGTCTGTTCGCAAGTCATGAAATGCCCAGCATCATCCAGGATTATTAAAACGAAGAGGGCACAGACATTTTGTATATCAGAGGATTGTTACATCAAAAGAAACAGGTTTTTTGTCCCTTTTTTAAAAATTAACAGCTTCAATAGCAATTTAGTAGGAGGATTTTATGAATGTATGGAAAGAGCTTCATTATACCTACTACTGAAATCTTTGTCTTTGGAAATATTCTTCCCAATTCTGTCCATCAGTAGTTGATATTAATCAAGATGTTTTAATGCAGTCTGCTGCATGTTTGTATACAGTATTTAATCTGTTACTTGTACAGACCTTTACAAAGAAGACCAGTCATAGAGTATCCCACAGAAAGCTGGTTGTATTCAGCTGTAATTTAATGATGAAAACTCTGCCTTTGGTATGAAGTTCATTGATTCATACTTGATTAGTCTTACTGAGGATTACACAACAATACAACCAGTGTTCTGTGGTTAAATATTCATTTTAGAGATATTGACAGTTTTTTTTCCCCCTATATAACTGATACTGATAAACGGGACCATTCCCAAAGTCAAAAAACTTTAATTTTTCCCAATTTTGAGACTTAAAAATTCCCAAATTCAATTGCCAAGGAACAGAATACGATGACATTGTAATTCTTTTCATAGAAAACATTGTATGAGTTATATACATGTAAATTGTCACTTCCTCTTAAATTGAAAGTAGAGATCAGTCGTAATATGTTGTAATATGGCGGGATGCATGTGTAAACAGCATAGTCATGCTGTTTTCTTAAATTTTTGACAACTTGAAAGCGTGAAAATAAGGGACATATATGTAAAACAACGAATATTCCTTGATTATTCTTTAAGCATTGATTAATAGGTAACGAGGTTAGAAAAAATGCAAAATAAATTTTATTTGTTGACATGACAAAAAATTCCCCTCGTTCTATTTCAACACTATCTTTCCCAATTGAATCGGTACCGGACCCATTCCCAATGGGTAGAAAAAAAAAATCGCTGATTGAGGAATTGGCACATTACATTGCTAATTACAAAGAGTTTATATATACATGTAAGTTATATTCATGCATGTACATTGTACATAAATTTGAGGAAAACATATATATAATTATTGAAGAAATATCTTTCAACAGTATATATATACTGAGTTCTTCATCTTTTCAGTTGACAAATTTATGATGCTGATTCTATTAGTTTTTCTGTGCAAGAGAAAAAAAGTAAAGTTTGTATTTCCATGTTTTATTTTCTAGGGAGTTGGTCCACAAGAGTACACTTTGATTAAATTGAAAGTGAATGAGCCATATCCACCAAAACTAAGGTATGTAAAACAAACCCTATCTACCCACACTGTATGTAAAACTATTCATATCTAACCAAACTAAGTTAGGTAAAACTAACAAATCATGTCTACCCAAACTCAGGTATGTAAAACTAACAAACCATATCTACCCAAACTCAGGTATGTAAAACTAACAAACAATATCTACCCACACTGTATGTAAAACTATTCATACCTACCCAAACTAAGTTAGGTAAAACTAACAAACCATGTCTACCCAAACTCAGGTATGTAAAACTAACAAACCATGTCTACCCAAACTGTACGTTGTTTGTAAAACTATTCGGTGTGTTCCCATTTTGCACTCATTTGATAATTAGGTATAGAATAATAGGTGTAAAATATGTTTTGATAGCAATTATAGTCTGATCTCCTTCTGGGATTTACCTGGAATTACCTGTATTTTACCAATGCAATATAAATTTAAAAGAATAAATTTTGAAAATTTAATTTGTCCAACACAACTGAAGATTAAGTAATTTAGACCAATATCCTCATTGCAGTCCCCCCCCCCCTTTTTTTTTACTTCAAGATAAAAATGAATGAGTAAATGAAATAAAAAGAAAGAGTGAGAGACAGATAATCATATGAAAATAATTATAGTTTTGATTATTTATGATATTTTTATGTTTTTTTAATATGTTTTTCTTATGAAATCACAGAAATAAATCAATTAAAATATCAAATGCCAAATTAATCATTTTTTATTCCTATTCTTTTAATAAATTCTCTTTCTCCAAATTCACAGCTATGATATGGAATATAGCAAATAAGTAATTATCTTACCTGGACAAATTAACATTTTGCACATTTTTCAATACTTGAAATTCAAAAATGTGCAAGACTTAGATATGAATAGTTATACCTACCCAAACTAAGTTATGTAAAAATAACAAACCATGTATACCCAAACTCAGGTATGTAAAACTAACAAACCATATTTACCCAAACTCAGGTATGTAAAACTAACAAACCATGTCTACCCACACTGTATGTAAAACTATTCATACCTACCCAAACTCAAGTATGTAAAACTAACAAACCCTATCTACCTTTATTGTATGTAAAACTATTCATATCTACCCAAACTAAGGTATACAAACCACCAAAACTTTGTTATGAAAAACTAACCATATCTACCTTAAGTTCAGGTATGTAAAACTTTGCTGACAATTTAGTGTTTAGAGAGGAATATAATCTCAGCTGACATTTTAATTTTTGGAGAGGAATTTGATCTCAGCTGACATTTCAATGTTTTGGGAGGAATATGATCTCTACTGACATTTTAATGTTTGGGGAAGAATATAATCTCAGCTGACATTTTAATGTTTGGGGAAGAATATAATCTCAGCTGACATTTTAATGTTTAGGGAGGAAAATAATCTCAGCTGACATTTTAATGTTTGGGGAAGATTATAATCTCAGCTGACATTTTAATGTTTGGGGAGGAATATAATCTCAGCTGACATTTCAATGTTTGGAGAGGAATATAATCTCAGCTGACATTTCAATGTTTGGAGAGGAATATAATCTCAGCTGACATTTCAATGTTTGGGGAGGAATATAATCTCAGCTGACATTTTAATGTTTGGGCAGGAGTATGATCTCAGCTGACATTTTAATGTTTGGAGAGGAATATAATCTCAGCTGACATTTTAATGTTTGGGCAGGAATATAATCTCAGCTGACATTTTAATGTTTGGATAGGAGTATGATCTATGCTGATAGTTAAATACTATGGTTACAACGTAATGCAATTTATTGAAAAATTCTTTAGACTTCTAAGTGCATAAGCACTTTTTTGCATGTAATCACAACCATTTGATAAAAGCATAAAACAATCATTTTGAGTGGTTAAATGCATTAAAGATAGTTCTATTTGGATCATTGGTTTGGTTTGATGTTTCTAGTCATAGTCACAGAAATATTTCCAGAAGGCGAGAGAAATAGAAATTTTTTAGTCATTGTAAGATCCATCCTATCCAGGTTCTTACTGAAATGTAGGTGTGTGATCAGTGATGATGTACCTAACAGTGTTCAGGCCAATGAATCTTCTATGATTAGAACATTGTGAGTCCACTGAGATCACACTTCCCTACATTTCAGTATGGATTAAACGCTACAGTATAAAACAAATGTCAGTAGTTGTTGTGTGAGAACAAAATCCAATTGAAAGTGCAATAAAAAAAATCTATTCAATTCTGGATTGATTTTAAGCAGTCTCTTTGTCTCTGATAAAGAAGTTGATATAATCATTATAAATCATAAATGGTATTGTGTTGTAGATTTCCACATACGTGTACATATTTGTGTTGATATTTACATTTCACAGCTGTTTTCTCATTAACTCTTTTCCATTAACAGCTGTATACTCATGTAGACTGTGTCTTTGGAATGCAAACATGACATCACAATGATAATTTATTTGATAAATGAGATTAAAGAAATTACTTTCAAAGAAGTAATAGAATGTAAACTAAAAGCATTAAGCATACATTTTTAATTAAAAGTCATCTGAACTGACTGCAATAAAGCAGGGTAAGGGGAGTTTTTCTTGTAACAAATAACAATTATAATGAGGTCCTTTTGAATAAGGATTTATTGTAGTATTGAAAAGTTTTCTGTTTAATCATTGATATCAATATATAGCTCTTTGATGGAGTTGGGGGGCGGGAGTGTGATTTATGATGAAGAGGTAGTGTTCGGGTCACTGATTATACCGTGATTAGAACTTGTTGAGTATTTCTGAAGTCACACTTTGGAATTTCATTTGTGTATACAATTATGTTAATTAAAACCTGTAAACATAGCATTTGTTTATCTGTCTCTGAAGAGAAGTAAGTTATATTTGCTTTATTTTCCATTGATCCTTCATTTGGATGAGTTAGATACAAATATTTCTAGTACTACTGCATGTATACTGTAAACCAACTATCATTTGCGTCATCTTTTATTTGCAAATCGTCAGTTTGAAATCACTCGGTGACAATTAATTTTCACGCCTGAGGAACATTCTCTACAAATGCAAAGCAAAATAATTGGTTTGCAGTGATTAATAGTAGGTCGTGAAACTCGCAGATATTTCTCGCATACAAATTAAAGTTGGTTTACAGTATTCTGAGGAATTGTATAACCCTGTAAAATCTATCATACAATGCTAGAATAAATATAGACGTGTGATCAGTGATGATGTACCTAACAGTGTTCAGGCCAATGAATCTTCTATGATTAGAACATTGTGAGTCCACTGAGATCACATCTCTACATATAAAGCTTTATTAGTGTAGTAAATCAGTTCAGTAAAGAGTACAAAAGGATTTTAAAGTATTAGCAGGGCTCTAATTGGTGACAAATTTAGTCGCCATGGCGCCTAAAAATTTTCTATAAGTCGCCAAATTGGCGACCATTTTAAATTGGCTTGGTGATCGTCAAATTACAGAACTATAAACATTTTCGAATTTTTTTTATAAAGAGCAGAAAAGAAGTTTGAAAGTTAGCAACGGACATGTCTCTATATATTGACTAATATCAGTTTTTAAATTGTGTGCCTAAGAAAACTTTACCTGCCGACTAAAAATTTTCATTGGTGACTAAATTTATTTTTATTAGGAGCCAGTTGGCGCCCAAAATTTTAGAGGTCACATAGAGGCCTGATTAGAGTGTGATACAGACAAAATCATTTACCATTCAGGGTCCGACACTCGCTGTAGCCCGCTAGCCCAGGACAACTGAAAATTGAGGTTGGGCTACCAAACAATTCATCGAGCTTCTCATTTACTTTAATTTGTGCATGTTTGGAAAGAATTGCAGGAAAACATCTGTGAATGTACAGAACATTTAGCAAGAATATATTTCTAAAGGAATTCCTTTAATTACATGTGGTGCATCTAAGAGTATTGATATAACTATGTGGTAATTCTTCAGAGTTGTATGTAATTGTATGATGACAATTGCCCTATGGATGAGATACAATGATTCAATCATTGATTAGTCTTACTGACAATTACTCAACTCTGACACTGAAATCAGAACAGGGAATGGGAGGGAAAACAGCTCTACTCTGTATAAGTTAGATTTCTACCATACTTTTGAATGTTGACATTGATGTAAATAATAAATGTCACCTTTGTACATCTGAAATTTTGTAGCAAACTAAAGGGCAGTAAAATTTACCTGGTGGCCGCAACTCTGAGACCAGAGACCATGTTTGGACAAACCAATGTATGGATCCGACCAGATATGGAATACATCGCACACAGGCTGGCTAATGGAGAGATCTTCGTGTGTACTCCACGGGCCGCTCGTAATATGTGCTACCAGGGCTTCACAAAAGAAGAGGGGAAAGTAGATCTTGTAGCCAATTTAGTTGGTCAGGTAAGAAAAATTGAATAATGGAAGCACCTTGTAAAGAAAAAGATTTTTATTTTGTTTGTCCAATGAAAAAGCCTTTAGAAACATTGACTAAAATAGCAATAAATACCGGTAGTAGTCGCAGCATAATTTGCTATCACAGTATGGACAAAATACTCAAATACTGTACCAAACAAGAGACTTAAACTTGGGGAATTTTTTTTTGACAGGATATAATGGGAATTGGATTGTCTGGACCACTAACAGCCTACAAAACAATCTACACCCTCCCAATGCTGACTATAAAAGCAGATAAAGGTAAAATTCCTATAAGAGCAAGGAATTAAAGTTGGTGGTATACCATACAAAATTTTAGTGTCACTTTGAATAAGTACAGTAGTAGAAGTTATTAACAGGCATTCAAGGTGAATTTAAGTAGTGTCAAGGATGAAGCAAAATAAAAAAAAAATCATAAATTTTTGTTTCAGAATTGTTACAGTAGATGTCCTCTATTTTCTAATCAAGCCATTATACATGTTAATGTTCTGTTGACTTTTAGGGACTGGAGTTGTTACTAGTGTTCCCTCTGATGCCCCGGACGACTTCGCAGCTCTGAGAGATCTGAAAAACAAACAGGTGATTCACATTCTAACTGAAAAACAAACAGGTGATTCACGGTTCTAACTGAAAAACAAACAGGTGATTCACGTTCTAACTGAAAAACAAATAGGTGATTCACATTCTAACTGAAAAACAAACAGGTGATTCACATTCTAACTGAAAAACAAATAGGTGATTCACATTCTAACTGAAAAACAAACAGGTGATTCACCTTCTAACTGAAAAACAAACAGGTGGTTCACATTCTAACTGAAAAACAAACAGGTGATTCACATTCTAACTGTAAAACAAACAGGTGATTCACGTTTCAACAGTACTCGTCAGGTTGTTCAGTTAAGTGTGTGAAACAAAACTTAAAATAGTGGCTCATTTTTGCTGTCAGATATACATGTATGATTAATCTTAACCACCAAAAACCTTGAGAGATTCATATTTTTTTTACATGCCTTAAAAGCTTAAGGATCTTGTAAGAACTATTCTCGTAACATTGAATTGCTGTTACTGATGGTTGATGCACGTAAATTCAGGCACTTGTCTTCATGGCGAGATAGCTTGGTAGCGTGTGCTAGAGTAAATATCTTTTGAGAAAACTTGTAGTCTTTTTTACAGAACTCAAGTTTAAACCACTTTAGATACAGTAAAAACTACATGTATATTAGTTACAAACCCCTCTTTCTGTTTTATTTCAATATGGTATTTCATTTCCATTTTATCACAGCCATTCAGAGAAAAGTATGGAATAAAGTCAGAAATGGTATTACCATTTGAACCGGTAAGTGGTCATTTAAATAATGAAAACAACTCCCTTTTGACAAATTCCATTAAAAATGAGGTCCTATTCCAAAAAAAAAAATGATGATGATGCATGAATTGATGTTAAATAAAGACTTCCTTGATGTACAGATTCCCATCATAGATGTCCCAGGCTATGGTAATCTGTCAGCGGTCACTGTCTGTGAGAAGCTTAAGATTCAGAGTCAGAATGATAGAGATAAACTACAGGAGGCTAAGGAGGAGGTCTACCTTAAAGGCTTCTATGACGGGGTACGTACATTTGTTAAAAAAAGGGGGGGGGGGGGTGGAGTATATTAGTAAGTAAATATCTACCTGTGGGAAAGGCATGGTTGGGCACAGTTGTTTAAGCCTAGATTTTGTCATATATCTGAGAGCTTGGAACCCTGTGCAACAGAATCTGTCTCTGTGATCTAATCCTTGTGTTGTACACCAGGAACAAGATGGAGACAAACAAATTGTTATACTAGAAGTACATAATATAAGGCTTTTCTACATGTATTAATTCATGCTACTGTTATCTGTTGTTGCCGTCATTGTAAACTTTTCACAATTTCATCTTCTTCTGCAGAACCTCTTGACCAATTTAACCAAACTTAGCACAGAGTTTTCAGAATATTATTATTTATATGTGTACATGCATATACTTTGTTCATATATTTTAATGTTTCCTCATATCTTAATGATTCAGATATTTCAAATTTATATCTATAAACTCTAGGATTGATTAAAGAATATGATTCTGGTAAATAGTGTATTTCCCAAAGAATATGAACCATTGAAATTTATCTGTTTTGACATCAGAGATTGCTCAGTGTGTTGGAGAACGATGACACTTCAAATCTTAATACTCAAATAGTTTTCACGTAATCATGTTAAAATCTTCATAATTTATTTGTAAACAACACACTTTATCCACCCAGAAAATTTTATAAAGATACATTTATTTTCTAAAAAATATATGAGCTTAGTCTATGGAATTTTGGGGACAACCCTCGTATATTCAATTGTTCTGCAGTCACTTTTAAGGTAACGAGTGTTATTGGAATATTAAAGACATATACAAGTATAATCTGCTTCAGCATGGCTTCAGAAACTTATGTTCTGGTACACACTTTCTAATCAGTTGGAGTTGGAAACCATTTTTTGAAAGAAGAGATATACACTGAGCTCTACTAAACATTTCTTATGTAAAACCTCTTTTTACTTCACCAGGTGATGATTGTGAAAGGATATGAAGGCCAGAAAGTACAGGATGTGAAGAAACCAATTCAACAGAAAATGATTGATGCCGTAAGTTAAAAAATTACAATAAATTTTATTTTAAGTTAAGATGATTGTCATTCAATTCTATATGTACAATCCAGAATATTTATATACAAAAGCAGTAAATGCTGGTTGTGTAAATTACAAAAAAAAATATTTTAGGCATTCATGAATTTGAAGTAAACAGATTTATTAATCATTGTTTATAGCGTCATATTCGTGTTGGCAGTAAATCAGCCTTATTTTGGAAATGCTTGCAAAAAAAAGCCAACTCGGCTTCAAATAAATATTCTTTTTTTTTTTTACAGGGAGAAGCTGTAAAATATATGGAACCAGAGAAAACAGTGATATCTCGGTCCAATGATGAGTGTGTAGTAGCGCTGTGTGACCAGTGGTAAGTCTGAGATCAAAACCAGAGAATTGACCATCATAGTAAACGATCTCTCACTGTCAGTCCGTTGTATACCATTATAATATGGTAATTGACTATCCATAGTAAATGATCTCTCACTGTCAGTCCGTTGTATTACATTATAATATGGTAATTGACCATCCATAGTAAATGATCTCTCACTGTCAGTCCGTTGTATTACGTTATAATATGGTAATTGACTATCCATAGTAAATGATCTCTCACTGTCAGTCCATTGTATACCATTATAATATGGTAATTGACCATCCATAGTAAACGATCTCTCACTGTCAGTCCGTTGTATTACATTATAATATGGTAATTGACCATCCATAGTAAATGATCTCTCACTGTCAGTCCGTTGTATTACATTCTAATATGGTAATTGACCATCCATAGTAAATGATCTCTCACTGTCAGTCCATTGTATTACATTATAATATGGTAATTGACCATCCATAGTAAACAATCTCTCACTGTCAGTCCGTTGTATTACATTATAATATGGTAATTGACCATCCATAGTAAACGATCTCTCACTGTCAGTCCGTTGTATTACATTGTAATATGGTAATTGACCATCCAAAATAAATGATCTCTCACTGTCAGTCCGTTGTATTACATTGTAATATGGTAATTTACTATCCATAGTAAACGACCTCTCACTGTCTGTCTGTTGTATACCATTATAGTATGGTAAATTACATGTTCATTTATATTAAAATTGTTTAAATTTGTTACATGTAACATAACATTTTAATCATTATTCGAGTTTATAGATTTGAAATACACATGTATATGGACAAATTGAAGTACATGTACAACAAAATTTACACAAGGTGTGATTTGTGTGAAATATTTACAAATACAGAATGTGGTTCTTAGAAATTAAATGGAAGAATGAAAGAAAAGACCACTGTGTGACAAATTTAATGATTTATGCAATGTTCATGTTTTGACATGCTTTAGATGCACAATTATGCAAAATTTTAAAAGCTCTTAGTCTTTTGAGTCTAGCAGACAATGCTGTCCTGAAAATATATTTTAAAATTGCAGGTAAATTTATTTGTGTGTTCTTAATCAAAGGTACTTGGAATATGGTGAAGAAAAATGGAAGCAGTTAACAGCCCAGTGTTTGAACTCTATAGACACTTACTCAGACCATGTAAGGGAAAATTTCCACGCCACTCTGGACTGGTTGCACGAGCATGCCTGCTCTCGATCCTACGGATTAGGTAAATTGATACAAGGGAGCTTTAAATTTAACAAATTATCTAATTATGCTGTGCATACAGCAAAACTTGATTGCATGTTATGTAGTAATGAATTGAAATTAAAATAATTAGGGATGTCAATTTTGTCAATAATTCATATTCAAATATTCATTGAAAGTATTCGAATATATTCGAATATTCGATGAAATAAATAAAATTGGGTTTATTTTAAATATGCATCATCCTACTCTCATGAAAGGTTTAGCATAGGTATTCTTATATCAGAAGTAAAATTGTGTGAAGGCTTTTGTAGGTGTACAATAAGGAATTCCTTTGATTGAAATAAGTAATTGATTTAAATGTAGAAAATTATGATTTTAACAAATTTAATAATTTAATAAATTTACAGTAGCTCCAACTGAGGAACCAGTCATCTTACCAAAGGCAGGATAGTTGTATACTGTTAGATTTCAAAACGTGTAATAAATTACAATTATCAGCCTAATAAGAGATATGATAATAATCTTTGATAAAATATTTTTAAAATAAAAACAAATATTTCCATAGACAATTTTCCTAGGTAATTAGTTAATTTACCGATAATTAATATAAAATATAAAAAAACCCACATTTTTTCTGAAATTGAGCCCTTTACAATATTAATTACAGACTAATTCTATCAGACACTCATTCAATGATCAATTAAATCTATTTTGATAAGTATACTCTTCACGCCTTTTAAACATGAAGGTTTTCATTTAATCAAAAATTTATTAATCACAGTACTTCTTTTTATGAAATCTGTAAAACACCGTATGTTCGAATCTTAAATTTATATTCGAATATCAACCCATCGAATGAATATTTGAATGTTCGAATATTCGTTGACACCCCTAAAAATAATGTAAAACATAGTGTATCTATTGATGGCATCACTCGTACTGTGGTGCTGGTTATATTATCAGTCATCAAATTAAAGTGATGCCAAAGTAAATATTGACTCAAAACTCTTACCACAGCTTTTGTGTATAAATGCAGTGGTAATCTTTGATGCCAACAGGTCTAATACAGTTTCAATGTGTTAGAAATAAATTTTAAGATGGTTGTCACTGGTTTATTATTGTGGCACAGTGTGATCATTTTTTAAAATTTTCAACCTCAGATTACTTTCATTAACACATAATTTTTAGAACCCTACATGCTTGCTTTTTTTTTAGGGAGCCACATTCCGTGGGACCCACAATACCTTGTGGAATCCTTGTCAGACTCCACGATCTACATGGGTTACTACACTGTGGCCCACCTGTTACAGGGCGGCGTGTTTGATGGCAGTGGGAAGAGTCCTGCTAATATCAGGTAAGGGGACGGTTTGAAGGAGAGAAAGTGAGACATGGTCCAGTCAGGGAAAAAGTATGTTTCTGTAAAAGACTTCGTTGGAAGGGGGCAATTCTGAGATATAAAGATAATTGGCCTTATTGGATGGAGCCAATCAAGTAGATTTTCATGATAATCAGCATCATTGGAGAGGGGAAGTGGTGAGAAGTCAAATAATGATGATAATTAGATCTGTAAAAATAATATGAATGGCTTTTTGGGATGTACAGTGTAATTTACTTGTACTTTACATTACAATGTGTTTAGGAGATGTATTTGAAATTTAGCATTTTATGGAAAAATTTTTATGATAATGATTCATTTAGTGAAATTTAGGGGACATGTTTAGATGGTAACAAGTACATACATTGTAGGCCAGAGGAACTGACTCCAGAGGTCTGGGACTATATCTTTTACAAGAACACCCCCTACAAGACAGGGTCAATCCCCATGACTACCCTGGACAAACTGAGGGCGGAGTTTGAGTACTGGTACCCTGTAGACCTGAGAGTGTCCGGTAAAGATCTGGTACCTAATCATCTAACCTACTACATCTACAACCATGTGGCTATGTGGCCTAATGACAGGTAAAAACATGGCGTATCTGAACCATGTGGCTATGTGGCCTCATGACAGGTAAAAACACGGGGTATACGAATCATGTGGCTATGTGGCCTCATGACAGGTAAAAACATGGCATATCTGAACCAAGTGGCTATGTGGTCTAACGACAGGTAAAAACATGGGGTATCTGAACCATGTGGCTATGTGGCCTCATGACAGGTAAAAACATGGCATATCTGAACCAAGTGGCTATGTGGTCTAACGACAGGTAAAAACATGGGGTATCTGAACCATGTGGCTATGTGGCCTCACGACAGGTAAAAACATGGCATATCTGAACCATGTGGCTTTGTGGTCTAATGACCGGTAAAAACATGGGGTATCTGAACCATGTGGCAATGTGGTCTAAGGACAGGTAAAAACACGGGGTATCTTAACCCTGTGGCTTTGTGGCCTAACGACAGGTAAAAACATGGGTATCTGAACCATGTGGCTATGTGGCCTAACGACAGGTAAAATCTTGGGGTATCTGAGCCATGTGGCTATGTGGCCTAACGACAGGTAAAAACATGGGGTATCTGAACCATGTGGCTATGTGGTCTAACGACAGGTAAAAAACACGGGGTATCTGAACCATGTGGCTATGTGGTCTAATGACAGGTAAAAACACGGGGTATCTGAACCATGTGGCTATGTGGTCTAATGAAAGTAAAAACACAGCATATCTGAACCATGTGGCTATGTGGTCTAACGACAGGTAAAAACTACAGGGTATCTGAACCATGTGGCTATGTGGTCTAATGACAGGTAAAAACATGGCATATCTGAACCATGTGGCTATGTGGTCTAACGACAGGTAAAAACAACGGGGTATCTAAACCATGTGGCTATGTGGTCTAATGACAGGTAAAAGCAACTGAAAAAAAAATCTGAAAAAAGTCTCGTGGATGATTATGAAGGATTTTACTAATGAAGAATTAAGATGAAATGCTCTTTTTAAGTAGATATTCTTATAATAGTAAAATTTTCTGATAAAAAGGAAGTATGTTTTTGGAAAGATGTTGCAATGTTTCAGCCGAACAAGATTGCAACGATCAAGTTTTGATTAAGTTTTGCAAGAAACTACTCTATTGTATTATTTTTAGTTCAAAGTGGCCTAGAAGTATAAGAGCAAATGGTCATTTACTGCTGAATTCTGAAAAGGTATGTAGATTTTGCCTTGAAATATTTGTGAATTCTGAGAAGGTATGTAGATTTTGCCTTGAAATATTTGTTTTTATGCCCCCGGATCGAAAGATCCCGGGGGTATATTGTTTTTATGCCCCCGGATCGAAAGATCCCCGGGGTATATTGTTTTTGTCCTGTCTTTCTGTTTGTTTGTCTTTTTGTCTGTCTGTCTGTTGTCAACTTTAACCTTGCCCATAACTTTTGATTGGTTGGCGCTATGACTTTCATATTTCACATGTGTATTCCTTGTGACAAGACCTTTCTTTGGGTACCATCATATTTGACCTTTTGACCTTGACCTTGGAGTTTGACCCACTTTTGCAAAATTTTATGAGACTTTAAACTTGGCAATAACTTCTGAACAGTTGGTGCTTGGGGTTTCAAACATCACATGTGTATTCTTTGTGACAAGGTCTTCCTTTGGATACCAACAACTTTGACCTTGACCTTGGAGTTTGGCCTACTTTTGAAAAACTTTAACCTTGGCCATAACTTTTGAACTGTTGGAGCTAGGGCTTTCATACTTCACATATGTAATCCTTGTGACAAGACCTTCCTTTGGATACCAACCATATTGACCTTGACCTAGGAGTTTGACTTACTTTTGAAAAACTTTAACCTTGGCCATAACTTTTGAATGGTTGGTGCTAGGGCTTTCATACTTCACATATGTAATGCTTGTGACAAGACCTTCCTTTGGATACCAACCACTTTGACCCTTTGACCTTGACATAGGAGTTTGACCTACTTTTGAAAAACTTTAACCTTGGCCATAACTTTTGAATGGTTGGTGCTAGGGCTTTCATACTTCACATATGTAATCCTTGTGACACGACCTTCCTTTGGATAGCAACAACTTTGACCTTGACCTTGACATTTTACTTAATTTTAAAAAACTTTAACCTTCGCCATAACTTTTGAACAGTTGCAGCTAGAGCTTTCAAATTTCACAGGTATATTCCTCGAGACAAGACCTTTCTTTTTTCATGCTTCACATATGTATTCCTTGTGACAAGACCTTCCTTTGGATACCAACCACTTTGACCTTGACCTAGGAGTTTGACCTACTTTTTAAAAACTTTAACCTTGGCCATAACTTTTGAATAGTTGGTGCTAGGGCTTTCATTCTTCACATATGTAATCCTTGTGACATCACCTTTCTTTGGATACCAACAACTTTGACCCTTTGACCTTGACATAGGAGTTTGACCTACTTTTGAAAAACTTTAACCTTGGCCATAACTTTTGAATGGTTGGTGCTAGGGCTTTCATACTTCACATATGTAATGCTTGTGACAAGACCTTTCTTTGGATACCAACCACTTTGACCCTTTGACCTTGACATAGGAGTTTGACCTACTTTTGAAAAACTTTAACCTTGGCCATAACTTTTGAATGGTTGGTTCTAGGGCTTTCATACTTCACATATGTAATCCTTGTGACACGACCTTCCTTTGGATACCAAACAACTTTGACCTTGACCTTGACGTTTTCCTTACTTTTAAAAAGCTTTAACCTTCGCCATAACTTTTGAACAGTTGCAGCTAGGGCTTTCAAATTTCACAGGTATATTCCTCGAGACAAGACCTTTCTTTGGGTACCAACATTTTTTATCTTATGGCCTGGATTTTTACTTGCATTTGAGAAACTTTAACCTTGGCCATAAGCTGCCATACAGGAGCATCAGTGTTTCACATACACATCTTGTTGGTAGATAAAATACATGTTAATTGTGTAAATACAAAGTATATTAGTTCTGATGTCCTTACAGATGTCCAAATCAACTGGAAATTTCCTCACCCTCACAGATGCAATAGAGAAATTTTCTGCAGATGGTATTTATGAATTTTAAAATATCTTGCAACACACTTGAAATTGTAAAGATGATAAATTAACAAAAAGTGAGCAATTTTAAAGCTTTGTTAGGAAATTCACCATATCCTGATAAGATTTTGGATACATGGTGCAGTATTAAGCTGCAAACTGTAATCCAATCTTTCTTTAATCACACATGTAGTTATATTTAAGTTGTAATCAGAATCCAAGTGACTTCATTAGCTCTCCTCTCCAATCAGTGGAGGTGTCTTTTTTTTGTTTTTTTAAAGGGGGGGGGGGGGGGTATTTTAATTTAAAGGATAGTTTAGTAAATAATTTATTTACTAACATTAGGGTTATCTCCCTTAGAAGAATAGTGTTCTCTTCTGATATCTGATACCTATTGTAGGTATGAGACTGGCCTTATCTGATGCTGGAGACACTGTAGAGGATGCTAACTTTGTGACTAAGATGGCTGACGCTGGTCTCCTAAGGCTGTACACTTACCTGGAGTGGGTGAAGGAAATACTCGCGACCAAGGACACGCTGAGGACAGGTTCCACAGATACAACCAATGATCAGATATTTATGAGGTAACAATTCTTATTCTACATGTGTTCCCTGTCCTTTAGTCATCTTTAACCGGTTTTCAATGAAAAATTTCTTGCATTATATACATAGAGAGGTTTACATTTAGAACTTTATAATTAGAACATGATAAAAGAGTGTATTAGAGTGTATTTTCATGGAAAGGAGAAAATATATTTGTAAAAAAAAATGTGTTGAACTTTAAATTGTAGTGAAATAAACAAGGCCATAACAGAAACACAGAACTACTATGAGAAAATGTTATTTAAAGAGGCAATGCGCACAGGATTCTATGAATTCCAGGTAAGCTGTCTTTGTAAACTTGAACTTTTAAATTATCAAAGAAAAAATGAGAACAAAATCAATTCTTTTTTCAAAGAGTTCCCCCTGTCAAAACTTGCTTCAAAACTGTTATGAATAGATAGTTGATTCATTGTTGTTTTTTTTTTTTTTTACAGGCCTGCCGCGACAAGTACAGGGAGTACGAGTTAGAGGGAATGCACCGAGACCTGGTGATGAGGTTTATAGATGTGCAGACTCTAATGTTAAGTCCAATCTGTCCACATATATGTGAGTACATCTGGGAACTCCTGGAAAAGCCCTGCAGTATCATGCATGAGAAATGGCCTGTAGCAGGACCAGTGGATGAGATACTGCTGCAGATCTCACAGTATGTCCTGGAGGCTGCCCACGACTTCAGAATTCGTCTGAAACAGCTGCTGACACCAGCTAAAGGGAAGAAAATGAAGCTTGACAGAGCTTCTCATGGGACGATATGGATTGCTAAAACTTATCCCCCATGGCAGAACACTGTACTGTCTACATTAAAAACTCTGTATGAGGCAAGTTATGAAAACTTGACTACCATTGTAAAGTCTCAGAATGGTGGTCATTGTCCTTACTTCCAAACTCTCTTTGCCAGTATTTGCTGTTTTTCCCTTCTCTCTTTCTTTTTGAAAAATGATTTGACCTAAGGCCAAAAAAAATTTAATCTATAGTTTCTCAGGCATCACTGAGTCTGATCAAACACTGCCACATTGATCAATTTTATCGAAACATTGAGAAGGGAAATAACTTGATGTACTATTTTTTCATGTTGAAAAAAGAAAACTCAGTTTTGCCCCTTTTCATACATGCTAACAGAGACATCTTTATTAGATACAAAATATATTTTTGTTAACACAGTATTTTAGGAATTGACTTTATATAAAGATGTTTGGAATAACACTATGTAAAGTTCAGTATATATTAAATTAATATAAGAGTATTAAAAACAGTAAAATCAGTTGGTATCAACATTTTGACTGACATGGAAAAAAGAGCAACTGCTTTAAATAAAAAAAAAAAGAAGAAAAAACCAGTTAATGCCTGCCGCATTGAATTTAGAAATTTTTGGTTTGAGAATATAAAGATTAATTTTTCTTTGTCCTACATGAGCCCTATATTCACAGAATACTATTTGTTTTGTTTATAGCAAAACAAAGGCTTTCCAGACATGAAAGTTATAGCAAATTCTTTCAAAGACAAGCCAGAGTTAAAGAAATACATGAAGAAACTGATGCCATTTGTACAGTTAGCAAAGGTAAAAATGAATAAATTTCCAAGTATGAGTTTTAAGCAATTCAATAAAAAGGACAAATTCCTGTATTAAAACTTGTATTCTAGACATAAGAATATGGCTTAGTTGAAGAATGACAGTTCTTTAATCTCTTTTTTTAGGAAAATGTGGAAAAGAATGGTATCAAGGCTTTGAATTTAACGTCAGACTTTGATGAAATGGAGGTCATGAACAAGTTTAAGAAGTACATGATCAACACACTAGATGTAAGATTTTACCGTGAGAATATATTAAAGTAGATAATTTGCTTTACTAGTGTTCATATGGAATAACACTCTTTACTGAAGTATACAGGGGTGTGAAGAATATTTGAATTTTGTTTGGAAGGTGAATGATGTCTTTAATTTTTTCATTTCCTCAATTATATTGAACTAAAGTAATTTATATTTAATGACTGTCATTGGAGGGTCTGGACATTAAGTCTTCTGATGACAAAATATGTTCTCTATCTGCAGTCAGAGGGTCTGGACATTAAGTCTTCTGATGACAAAATATGTTCTCTATCTGCAGTTAGAGGGTCTGGACATTAAATATTCTGACGAGGCTGATGATAAAGTAAAAGAGGACTGCTGCCCAGGAAAACCATTCACCACATTCAGAGAAGAGGTACGTTATAGGCATAGCAACTTGTGATATATGTAGGCATGTTTAGACATGAAAACCCACATTTGAAAATCAAAAATGAAGAAAGCCTCCCTGGAATAAACACTAGCTTTTGATCAATAATAAGCTTTATATTGGACAATTAAAACCATTTCTGCTTATCAATTCCTTTTTTTGTGTTGAGGAGATATTTTTAATTGAACATTAAATTTTCTGTATATACATGTTATGTACAAACATATATCTTGATTTCAGCCGTCGGTAACTGTCCAGGTTATAAATCCCCAGGCAATGAGTGGGCTGTTTGGGATAAAGTTACCAGTGTATGAGGGGGATACGAAGACCACCATCCTAACCAGAGTAATGAAGACAGACCGCTCTAAAATGAAAGGTAAAAACAGATTCCATAGAGATATTTTTCTTGTGTAAAAAATTGAATGAAGTATAGATCTATGTATATTTTATACCAAAAGTATTTTTTTATCTCTCTCTTTCTCTAAGTTATGTAAAATACCTTTATTTTTTACTGTTGAGAAAAAAAAAATTGCTCTGTAAAATTTATAGACACCTGAGCAGTTGAAAACTTTTAGTAAGATCAGCTTTCTTGCCCTTTTGAAAGATTATTGTGGCTTTAAAAATTGTGATATACTCTTTTGCAGATATTGGTCACATCAAACTTCTGATGTATGAGGACCCAGTCCGAGGACCAAGAACGATTCCAGACATGAATAATATTGAAAAGGGCAAAGTCATTGTCCCTGACAATTCTGTGTTTCACATTAATGTCACAGAAGAACAAGTGACTTTGCAAAGCAATGGAAAGAAACTGAATATAGGACAGAGTCTGGTTTATATCGTTAACACATAACATCAGTGGAGTATATGCAATGTAGAGGACTTCAGTAGAAAATGTGACACAGCTTAGCGAGTTGAGGAGGAAGTGATTTGATTGGTTGCTATGGCTATGGAGAACCTTGTGTGGGTTTCTAAGTATCGGATGTCCTGCTCCATAATCTTGTGAATTACAAGTGAAATTGTGCTTATTTATGAATTCTTGTGCTCTAAATAAATTATTTCTTGGGAGAAGTTTCAAACTTGGTTTTTATTTTGTAGCTTGTATCTATATTTTCAGTTTTACATACATGTACATGTACTATGCCTATAATATCACTTAGGTAGGTGCTTCCCCACAGATTACCTTTCTCTGTCACAGGCTGTGTACAGTGTTTGTCTAGACTGGGTATGATCTCTTGAGGGTCACAATTTCGCATTTTAAGATGTCCTTTTCTTTATATTTATATCTTTGTTGTTTTGTTTCCTTGCTCATCCCATCTTTAACAGCGAGGAAATTTTTGTAGATATCTTAATTCATGAGAATACAATTTCATGATGATATTTACCACTGAATTACTGGTATATAGAATTCAGACAGTATCATCTTTGTAAAAGAAGGGTCTGATAATCTTAGGTTTTGTTAATATGCATAACATGTTTGTGAATGAATTTCTCGAAAACTTGTACTTTAAACAATTGAGAAGAGGGCTGCCATTTGTCAAATTTTAAACCCATTCATAATGAGCTTTAATTAACTAATCCTACACAACCACTTTTGTGAAATTGGGTCAGCTGTATAATAATTTTATTTAACAATGGTGGAATATCATGTATGCAAAACGGTTGCCACCATCTTGCACACTTTGAGCTTGATATATATACATGTATGTACTCGATTGCGATAGATAAAAGTACATGGAAGTTGGTATATACATGTACGTGTCCTGGATGGCAAGAGATAGGGGCTCATGAAAGTTGGTATAAATATGTTCATATCCTGGATGGCGAGAGATTGTTTAATATTGAGAGATGAATATAATTATTTAGCTAGATCTGCACACAAGGGGAAATGGAGAGTGAACAGGGTCCTAAGGATTTTCCACTTAGCATGTGGCGGACTAATTTCCTGGTTAGACATTGTCATTTTGTTAAATCTATTGAGCAGGAAAGTATTACACTAACACTTTCAGCTGACATAAGCACATATATAGTGTGTTCTTTTTCCAGCTACATATATATCTAGTCAACACAAAATACAATTGCCAGTACGCTCGTGATGCAGTTATTCAAAAATTACGTAACATGACATACTTAAATAGATAAAGAACCTTCACAGGAAAATAAAAATTCCAAGAAAAGGATTTGTAAGAGGTATCAATATTGCAATTCCCTCTATAATACCATAAATACAAATCTAGCGATTTGAACTATAACGGGATATGCTAATGAACCTGGCGATTGCTGGGAAATGCAAATGTTATAACTTCACAACTTTTCAGTCTAAATCCAGTTCGAAAGGGGTATTTCACACAAATGTATAACAAAAAAAATTGTTATGGAAAGTATATAACTTGTTTCCTTGGCCACTTCATATCAGGGTTCCTTTTTCCTGTTCACCACATTGTATGCAAAACTCACAATGCACATGAATATCTGACTGCGTGTGCCAGGCCCGTAGGAAGTAGTACTAATTTCAGGGGGGGGGGGGGGGTGTTGGGGGGTTACAACCAAACATTTTCAGTTTAGGGGCACTACCAACTAAAAAATCCTTGACAAGCAACAAAAAAAAGATCATCAGACGTTATTATTGAGGGGGGGGGGGGGGGCGGGGGCAAGCATAAAGTAGTTAGGTTTTCTATAGTACACTATATATCCCTCCCACCCACCCCTGGATCCTACAGTCACGTTAAGCTATATCATAGTGTTTTGTGTCTTTTATCAATATTGCATTAAAAATTACAACTTTAAATTATGTAGAAAAACTGACATAGCTACGAAGCTTTGATGATCATAGTTGTAATCGGGACTTCTTTCAGTTGTGTTTCTAACGTTTTTGTGATATTAGAATGTATCCTGACATATGTAATTGCACCATAAATATATTGCCACGCTTTTGGGATAGAATATCGCTTCTAAGACGGAAGTAAACTTTAACTATTAGGTTGGTAGTACAGGGTCAATACCACTCTTTGGTGCACTGAGTAGCGCGGTTACGTCTAGATTCGGCTACTTTTTAAGTGAGGGGAAATACTTTACATTTTTTAAGTACACACATACATTTCACTTACAGGGGCGGACTGGGTTCTAGATTTTGCTTACAGCTTTTTTATTTTAGTTTTGTAAATATAGGTTTTCAAGTTATCAGAATTATAATCTTGACATATGTGTTTTCTTGTTTACGTCGTATGAGAGTGTTCGATGTTTATCGCCAGGGGTCCTTATATAAAGGCGATGCTATCTCTTTCTTGTCCAAGACGGAGTGAAAGGGCAAGGAGCTAGGAATTTGATAACGAAAGTTTCATGTAGCGTTTTCCAGATAAGATAAGATGAATATATGGATTTAATTTATATATCAATCGTCACTTCATTATTCAAAAGATTGTCTGTTAATCAAAGAAAGTTTTTCCGTTTAATAAAGTCACTTCCCTATGAATGATTAAACTTTTCAGTTTCTTACAAAATATACTTCCTTAAGTCTAGATCAGTGTAGTCCCAACATCCTGAATGTCAGATGACAGTTTAATAGTGTCAGATTTCGTAAATAGAAGAGCTTAAGAGAAAATAAATCTGTTTAAACGAACTTTTATCGATTGCTTTTTAATCTTTTATTATAAGATGCAGCGTTATTTAAAATCAAGTATATGTGTTTAATTTTTTATTCATTGATTATTAACTGTGTAATATACTATGTAAAACAAGCATGTTATTTTATGTATCATAATGGCCGAAGCGTTTTCCTCCTTATTACTCGTGGACAAAGTATACGGCATGAGCTGTCCAGCTATGTGTCATTAAAAATATGATTCACCGCCCCTTTAATGATGGAGCAATACTGCGGCGCGCGCATATCGAGAGACTATAGCCGGGATTTGCTTCCTCACTAGTTCAGTCTTGTACTCACTTAGGTGATTGTAAGGCGTGTAGTTTTGTCGTCTGCTAGGACTTGTTGCATGTAAGTACCTATACATTTTGCTATGATTACAAAAAAAAAAAAAGTATTTTGTGTAAGTCTAATATGAATAATTTATTTATTGGATATTTTTAACGTATTATTTTAAACAGATGTTAAACATTTTTTCGTGAAAGGAATACACTGATAAACGAGAAAAACGCCCGTGGTGTTTAAAAAACTGCGATGTCTTTTTTTTTTTAAATAAATTCACCCTTTTCTACTGCTGAATTAATAGCAATCGGTGAACCAGAGAATAAAAAATAATCCCTACTTGCCGACATGGGTGCGGTTATTGATCTGTGTAGGCTCATAGTGAGAAAGTGGCACCTATGTACGATTCTCCACGCTGTTCTCATGCAAACCCACCAAACCATCGTATTTCCTGGTCAATTGGTGATATATTGCTTTGTCTCTAGACAAGCGTGCATACATAATTATTTTCTCTTTGCAGTTTTTTAACCAACATGAGTGATAAACCAGACGTTAAAGAGGTTGAAACCTTCGACAAAAGCAAGCTTAAAAAAGTAGAAACACAAGAGAAGAACCCCCTACCAACAAAAGAAAGTATGTATAGCCCCTCCATCTCTCTTTCTCTCTCTCTCTCTCTCTGCTTAAATTTACGATAATGAGTCACCGCTGTCTAGCCGAATTTATTTAGGAAATGGACACTGTAGTGACTGTTGCGGTATCATCAACTTATCGGAACTTATCGGTTTTTCGTGTTTTTCAAATTTTTTTCCGTCTTCGTGGGGATACAGAGCAATTTTAACTGGTCTTGAAAACCGCAGCGCAGACGATATAAAAGTTCAACTCGTCTGCACATCTGTCTTACGGGGTGCTTAATGCTCATTGAGTCATCACACACTCTAACAGATGCAGGCATAGTTTAGACAAAGAATTCATATTTTAGAGGCACGCAGACGTTGAATTATTTCCACTCAACAAAATATGTCACATGTACCATTTTTACTTACTATGCATATTACGCGAGGACCGACAGAGGGGGGGGGGGGGGCTGATATTTGAGCCGTGTAATCAAGATTTATGGAATTATAAAAACATTGCTGCTGGGCGTGACCTCGATCAATAATTTCTCCAGCGATAAGGCTACTTGAACTTTTTCAGGCCACGACTGAGTAATGGTCGTCCAAATATTTCATATATGAGTTCTGTAAATAATAACCGACTCATCAACCAAAAAAAAAAGGAAAAAAAAAAAAGAAAGAAAGAAAGGAAAAAAAAAAACAAGATTATTATCTGAAATAATGATATTTATGTTTATATAAGCATACAATGCGGCGACGGTTTATAGCAGTGTTCTCATTTCTTATTTTCATCAATATCCGCAGATTTTGTTACAATACAGTGAAAGCTTTGTTCGATTCTTAGGCGTTTAATTAGGGTCCACATTTGAACGAGGTTTATAACATGAAATCCAGGCGTAATATGGAGATGGTGTCAGACATTACGTAATAGGGAAGATGGAACTCGGAAAAAAATACACTCGCACCAAGATCGAACAATAAGTCAATATTTCGGGCGCATCTATTGCAGCAAAGGGATCGACAAAGCATTGGTCTCGTGTAATTTCTTGGGAAATACTGCAATTTTTGTTTATGGAAAGTTAATGAAATCTTTTCCCTTTCTTTTCAGCTATTGAACAGGAGAAGAAAGCCTAATGGTGCCATGGATGAATGGATCATGTGTATAGACTGTGCTTTAAAGGATCGTAATGATCCTCTATTTTTGCTCATTTAATTATTTGTAAAATGAATTCCATTTTCTTGTGTTTGTACTCAGAATGAAAGAGCGTAATTATTACATTGAATGATTGAGGGGAAGAATTTTCACAGCGTCTTTTTAGTGTATTTTTATATACCGGGCTACAGCCGTGTAGAACTGTTGTGTTTTATACAATGTGATTTTGAATAAAGCACAACTGTGTACCATGGTCCTCAGCCGTGGACATCAGTAAACCTTGTGTTTGTTATTAGTAAGATTATGGACCTGGAGGGTCTCTCTGACTTGATGGGATTAGTATTACAACCGTTGACATTCTACACCCGGCGAGCCGTCTCGCTTTTACACTGGTGTATATGCATTAGGTGTACTTCATCCAGTTCAAAGGGAAATATATGTGTGGTAAAAAGAATGCAGGAAATTTAAGGCTCTACTTACTTAATGGCAGCATCAACAAGTAGGGGTATAGAGTTTACTTGTGAACTGACACTTTTCTTTTTTGCTTGAAATATGCCAAAATTGTGTCACCTGTCGATTTTTTTTTTCATAAAAAAAAAATGTCACTGTAGGGTTATAAACTGGAAAGGTTTCGGTAAGGGTCGTTAAATAATTATAAAAGGCGGTACTTATAGATCTTTGCATTTTGTTGTTGAACCATGAATGAAGAGGCGTACTAAAGCAGCTATAATCTGTAGCAATATCTTTCTATTATCAAAAAGCAGTAAACTGTAAGGTTTTCCAATAAATATGTTGAACGATATATAGATAGAAAATAGAAGATTGACCCTTTAAAGTCTTCTACAACGCGCACCTGTTCATAGAAGCTGTTTGATTAGGACAGATGTGTTATTATATGTCTCTCATAAATAAATAAAAACAATAAATAACTATGTACGTACATGATGGTAGACTTTCAATCATGTCTTGTACCTGTAACCACAGGCACCTGAAGCGTGGATAAAATACAGCAATTACACCCCCTTTCCTTCCCCTTCAACTCGTAACTTCCAAATTAAATACGAGTCTATTTTCTCGAAAATATTATTTCTCTGTCAATTCCATCTACATGTATATCTCATTCTGTGCAATCGGTTTGTACTTTTATAAAGGTTATAAATTGGCCATATACGATGTAATAAAATATTTATTATACCGTACGCATTATGGGCAATTGTTTAAGCTTAATGAAAGTACAAACCGATTGAGCAGAATGACAATTAAATGAAATTGACGAAGAAATCATATTTTCAAGAAAACAGAGACTCGTATTTGGTGTAAGATGCTCTCTAGTTGTCATTTTTCTCACTAGCTGCAGATCTGTAGCTCGCTGGTTTGAAAAAATTGGTACATGAATGACCAGCCTCGTCTCCGGTCTGTCAATATTTTTTTTTTCGCGGAGAGCTACAGTTCTGCAGCTATTATTTCACTCAACCCAATGCATCGAAATCACAAGGCATGCACTGTTTGATTCTATCATTTTAAAAAAGATTAATTTTTCACGCGTCATTAAAATCAAACAAACAACAATAACGACTATATAAAAAGTGTCATTCACAAACTTTGAGAAAGGCGTGTATTCTCTTCTCTGTTGATACGAGTGTTGAATATGCCGTTTAACAGGTTCGACAATATGCCGAAAACATTGTAAATGGAGTTAAATTTGCGTACAGTCCCATCCAAGTGGTTCAATAGAATTTTCTATATAATTTTAAAAAGGATACAAAATTGGTGTCGGTTTTATGCAAATTTTAAAATTTTGCGTTCTAAAAATGCTCGCAAACGGAAAGCAAGCGAAAATTGGACTATTACAAAAAAGGGGGGTAGAAATTTGTTTCTTCGGAAAAACTACGAATCAATTTTGAATGCGTCCGTTCTGAACACTCGGCATGAAAGTTACAAGATCGAAAAGCCCCCCCCCCCCCCCCGTTTTGTCTTGAATTAATTTTTAGCTCTACTGGTCGATAGTAAGGTGTCCTTCGTCCGGCCGTCTGTCTGTCCGTCTGTAAACATTTTTTTTTTTTCTCAAAATTCTACTCCTCCTAAAGTTTCGGTCTGATTTCAATATAACTTGGCACACAAGTAGACTGCAGAACGAACGTAAGATACGTGATTTTTTTTTATTTATTGGTTTTTGATTTCGATGAACGGTGTGGCCATGATTACTTAAAATAGAAATTTCTTTGAAATACTTTCAAAACGCTATTCCTCCTATAGTTTTTGTCTGATTTCAAAATAATTTCGCACACAAGTAGACTACACCTAGATTTATACATAATTCTATCTATCGAGTTTTTATTTTGATGAATGGTGTTGCAATAGTTACTAAATAGAAATGTCTATCGGTTTTTGATTTCGATGAACAGTGTTGCCATGGTTACTTAAAATAGACCTATACTTAAAATAGAAATTTCTTTATTCTTTTCTTCTAAAGACCACTTATCCAGCAGTTTTAGTCTGATTGCAGTAAATCTTGCCACAAAAAGAGGCTAAGCCAAGGATCATTATTCTATATTTACTACTGTTGCAAAGTTTCAAGTCCAAGTGCCTCTTAGTACAAACCTGTAGAGCTAGAGTCTCGTGAAAGACTTCTGGTTAAAATTTATTTTTGATGTATCGGATTAAGTGAGAAATGGAGGTCATCTTAACAAAAAGCTTGCCATTTCAATTGCTATAACATTATCCAAATGTAAGTAAAATATTTTTATTAGGCGCCGTTTTGGTATATTGCCATTTAGTGATATCACCTATTCGAATAAGTGATATCACTTATTCGAAAAGGTGATATTACATTTTCGAATTGATTTTATCAACTATTGGAAATGAATAGGTGATATCACCTATTCGAATAAGTGATATCACCTATTCGTCTTGAATTGGTGATATCACCAAGGATCTATATACTATACTTAGTATATAGGTCCCTAATATCACCAATTCAAATCAAAAGGTGATATCACCGATTCGAATGGATGGTATCGCCAATTGAATAGGTAATATCGCCTATTCGAATAGGTGATATCACTTCATGGCAGTAAATACCAAATTTGCCCCTCATCCATGTATATTTGACTTAATTTGACCCAAACCAAAGCCAAGTAAATGATTAGACTTGGAAGATTTTGTTTGAAATTAATTTTTAAAGTTAATTTCCGATGTATCTGATTGATATAAATTGCTGAAAATGGACAGCATCTCAACAAAAAGCCCGGAATTTTAATTACTGTTAGCATTATTCATGTTTTAATCATTTTAAAATTCGGATATTTTACTAAATTAGACCCCAATGCCAATACCCTTTGTGCAAGCTTTGATAATGATAATAAATAACTTAAAATTTTTATCATTATTATTTTATAAATGCAACAAATGACCTGTTTCATTTGGATATATATCAACTAGGCCTATGTTGATTTTTTTTCTTCCAGAAGCTGAAATATTACTTTCTTTCCTGACAGCAAAACAAGATAATGACTTTTTAAAAGGAGATTTAATAAACACATTTTTTTCTCTTTATCCTCTTTCGGAACTTCGCATATTTACATATACCTATTAGATTTCTAAAACTTCACATGGTATAATTTACGAATATTTTCTTAATGGCTTACTTATTTTAGACAGAAGCAGAAGAGTTCCACAACAACGTAAACAACTCGCGGCTTGCCAGCACTTGTTTGTTGTTCATTTTGCTGATAAGATTTGGATATTCCTGCACACACACTTAAGCAATGGTAATATAAATCACATTTAATAAAATGTTTTGAATATAAATTCCGATTACGAACGGTTTACGAAGAAGAACCTTTAGGCATTTAAAACAATGTGCTTTCGAATTTCCTCTAAATTTTTTGGTCATTTTTACCAATGCAGGTAATGGATTTGAAATGTCAAAATGATCATATTTAATATTCTTTATTTTATAAGCAGATAGAAAAAGAACCAAGTTGAGGAAAAGTACGAAAAATAGAATGACCTCCAAATTTAGAGGCGATAAACAGTAAGTATTACATTTTTACCCATATTACTTTCGTTTACATCGATCATTAGCATCATCGCATGAAAGAAATGCTCCAATGAAGAATTGAGGAGTGAATGATGCAGTGCAGTACTGATGTAAATGTTACTATAAAGCAATAGAGACATCTGCAAATACTAAAAATTTTAGAGTTACACATAATATGAACTCAATTGACATAAGTTTTAAATGGATCAATACTTTGGCTTATGAGTTATCTGCCTTAGTTGGTGTAATGACCATTTTTCTCATTATATACTTGGTAACTTACCTGTAAATATTTTAAACCTTCAAATACTTTTGGACAATTTTGTACCCTTCCAGTATTGCCATAGTATGGGGCATCAAAGAAAACATACTGAGCATATACATACAGATTTAATTTGTAAGATACTGCCCCATAAAGTTCTTAATTATTAGGTGAACTGCGTTCGCCCCAACGGTCGCACCGTCCACATATTATGATAGAGAGAAAATAGTTGGTCATGCTATTTGACCCCAGACTGACTGAGAAAGGGAAATAAGTCTTAAAAGCTTGTAAATGTTAAAGTCTATTTCTCAGTTTACAGTTGTTGCGTAAAGAGAATAGAAAACTCCATGGTGATGTAGAGGGGCTAGAGAGTGCCCTAATTCTCCATCAGAGATTCCAGGATGAAGAAGACAATGGGGTCCGGGGCCTACTCAGGTACACAAGCTTTACCTCATTAAGATAACAGGTGTGCAGAGCATACTCAGGTTAAAAACAAGCTGCATCTCATTAAAATAACAGGTGCCCAGGGCAGACTCAAGTAAAAACAAGCTACATGTCAATAAAACAACAGGTGCCCAAGGCATACTCAGATAAAAACAAGCTACACGTCAGGTGCCCAGGGCACACTCAAGTGAAAACAAGCTACATGTCAATAAAAAAACAGGTGCCCAGGGCAGACTCCAGTAAAGAAATTACACATCATTTAAAAAAAAAAAAATCAAAAACAGGGCTCTGGATCCTACTCAGGTTATTAGATTAATTGTAATTTTCAAGAAGCAGTCTCTTACATATCATTAAATTCACCAAGTGGTAACATTTCTAGTGAATAGAATTTTGTAAAGAATAGTAATATTTTATCTCTACTATTGACAACAGCTACACAACTGATTTAAAAAATGGAAGTAATTGAGCAACATGTTTGTTTTGTGTGAATTAGATTTTTAGTTCTAATGGTCTGAGAGACCAGAAGAGCTTATGCAATAGTATGGTGTCTGTCATCTATTTGTCAGTCCGCCTGTCTGTTTGTCTGTATGTAAACAATTTTTCAAAATGCTACTCCTCCTACAGTTTTGGTCTGATTTCAGTATAACTTGGCACACAAGTAGACTACATTAATATACATAATTCTTTTATTGGTTTTTGATTTCGATTCACATTGTTGGCATGGTTACTAAAACTAGAAATTTCCATGAAATACTTTCAAAATGCTACTCCTCCTATAGTTTTTGTCTGATTTCAATATAACTTGGCACACAATAGACTACACTAAGATATATAATTCTATTTATCAGTTTTTGATTTTGATAAACTGTGTTGCAATGTTTACTGAAAATAGAAATTTCTGTGAAATACATTCAAAACGCTACTCCTCCTGTAGTTTTGGTTTGATTTTAATATAACTTTGCATGCAAGTACACTACACTGAGATACATAATTCTCTTTATGTTTTTTTTTACACTTTGATGAAAGGTGTTGCCATGGTTACTAAAAAATTCTGTGAAACACTTTCAGTACGCTACTCCTCCTACAGTTTTAGTCTGATTGCAATTAATCTTGCCACAAAAAGAAACCAAGGATCATTATTCTATTTATTGCTGTCTCATAGTTTGAAGTACAAACCTGTAGAGCTACAGTCTCATCAGAGAATTCTGTTTTTTTTTTTTATAGGAAAGAAATAGGAGGTTCAAGATGGGAGCATGGTGGTGTTGGAAAAATGAACAGCTACAGAGGTGTAAGAGACCTCAATAAACAGAACTCTGAGCAGAAGAATGCTGGACTTCTAAATGCCAAAAAAACTGGAAGTCTAAAACCACAGCAGAAAGGCACCGGCACTAAGAATCAAGATATCGAAAGTAAGCAGCTACATAAGACATATAGTGTCACAGATAAAACCTCAGAAAAAATCCTATCATCTCCGCTTAATGGTGAAAAGCCAAGGGAGCAAACTCTGACTAACTGTAAGGAAAGGAAGAGCAAGAAGCAACACAGGGGAGAGAGACAGACAGCCTTAAACATGGAAACCTTTACTGTTGACAAAATGTCAGCCATGAAAGCCAAGGTTTTAGAGAAGGCAAGCTCCAAGGTCATCTGGAGAAAGAAAGGCTCAAAAACAGATAACACAGAGAGTGAATCCAAGTCAGATATTCCAGAAACTGATGGTAAATCCAATTCAAATGTAAAGAAAGATGTCAAAGAGAGTGAATTAAAAATAGTGGCTGGTAATGTCAGTAAAGAAGGTAACATCAAAAATACAGCAGGCAGGGACTTGTTAGCTCAGAAAGGAAATGTTAAACCTTTAAAGGAATTGCAAACAGAAGTTAAGAAAGAATCCCCAAAGCAAACCAACAGAATAGACCCTGAACTGCTCAGCAAAAGCCAGAAATCTACAGCAGAAATGTCAAGTGTTCATCACAGGCTGGACCCTGTACAGCACAGTAGAGGTGGGAAATCCACCACAGAAATGTCCAGTGTTCATCACACAGAATCTGTCCTCAAAGAATCAAACTCACATCCCTCAAATTCTAGTCAAAGTCGTTCACAAACTGTGTCACACTCAAATGAGAAGATCAGTAGTTTGAGTTTGAGCAAAGTGAAATGTGATTCTAGTGTCTATTTATGGTTAAGGAGACTTGCACTTCTGGAGGAAGAAAAATATGTTGACATGTTTGCAAGAAATGAAATAGATATGAGTGTATTGATAACACTGGACGAAAGCCAACTGGAGAAAATGGGCGTTCTTGCACTGGGAGCAATGAAGAAACTTTTAGTAGGAATTGAAGAATTAAAATCTCAAGAGAAAAAATATGAAGTGGATGTCCAAGAAAAAACTGAGATAAAAAGTCCTAAGACAAAAAACACAGACAATATGAGTTGTAAGGTATCTGATGTGCCTAAAAAATGTAAGAGTGAAATAAAGAGTCCCAAAAGTGTAGAGGCTGTCAGTGTGAGAGAGTCTTCAAAGTTCGGAACATCTGACAAATTAAGAGACGATAAAGATGGTTATCAAGAGCAAGCATCTGTTAAAGGCAGTGTGTCTGTGAAGAGGTCCCATAGCGTTATGTCACAAACTTACACCAAAAAAGAGGCTCAGCAAATGTTGGGCAGTGAATCTCGTAGAAATTTACAGAAAATGGAGAGGTCAAGTGGAAGACCGAGGGATGGTTCACTGACCAGGTCAAAACCAAATAGGGGGGTTCTGATAGGGGACAGACCACAGAGTGCCAAAGTTATAAACAGGAAACAAAATTCTGGACCCAACCTTCCTAGGGCAAAGTCTGCCAGTGTAACTAATAAGAGGGCAGCAGAATTAACAAATAAAAAGGCAGAGGAAGGTAAGAAACAGGTTAAATATGATTTTCCGCATATTCTAAAGTATCTTTTGTGAGCATGTTAATCAAAGCTGTGTTTTTTTATAACTTGGATTTTAGGTATCAAAGCAGCCATGAAGAGAAGCCGAGACAGACAGGAGTCACCAGAAGCTAAGTTGTTAAAGGAGCAAAACAAGTCTAACAGGGATGAAATGGCAGCCAGGCACCTGGAGAGGGAAAAGAAAAGGGTACAGTTAAAATATAAGGAAAACATGTAGTATAAAGGAAGACAAGCTGATGTTTTTTAAAATGATACTTACAAATACATAAATTATATTGTTTTATTAAAAAAAGTAAGTTGGTCTTTCAAGGTACCAGTATTCATAATTTTACCCCATCATAGAAGTCCAGAGAAATACAATGTATTAACAAGGTTTCACTTTTTAAAATTTTTTGCTCTCCTGAGCTGAAAGCCCAAGTGAACTTTTCTGATCACATTTTGTCCGTGTCCGTCTGTCTGTCCTTCTGTAAAATTTTCATATTTTCAACTTCTTCTGAAGAACTAATGAATTAATTTCAACCAAACTTACCACAAAGGACCACACTCTTTTTCAGGAGGAGATAATTTAAGAATTAGTGAAAATTCAATGGCATATTAATGTTTCAAAAATCTATTTTCTCAAGAACCACTGAGCCAGAAAAAATGAAACTTATGCAAAGGCTTCATTACATAGTGTAGATACAAGCTTGTTCAAATGATAACCCTCTGAGAATAGGAGGGGCCTCAATGGGCATGATAAGCCATATTGATTTGGAAGCACCTTCTTGGAGTGTAGATTCAAGTTTGTTCAAATCATGACCCTTAGAGGCATGATGGGGCCACAATAGGCTATCAAAGTTTTATATAGGTTTTATAGGGGAAAAAATCTGCTAAAGAAGAACGACAGGGACATAGTGACTCAGGTGAGTGTTGTGGACCATGGGCCTCTTGTATCTGTTTCAGAGGGAAGAATCACTTGAGATGAGGAAATTTGAAGATGAGAAGAAAGAGAAAGAAGAAGAGACAACAGAGGATGAGGACACACTAGAGGATCTGGTCAAGGTCATTAACTATAGCAACACAGTCAGGTCAAATCAGGGTAAGGTGCCATTTTTATAAATTTATAAATTTAGAAATAGCTTATATCAGTTATAAGTGAGTAGTTAAACAATATGCTTATTTCAGCAGTGGAGGATTCTGCACATTTAGGTTCTGTGTTGCCCCAGAGGCAGCCCCTTTATCGACCCAACCCTTCCAAACCACCCCTAAGACAAAGCATGGCAATTTCAGCCAGTTCATACCTTCATCATGACAACCAAAGTAAGAATTTACAATATAGCTCTTCTGATTTGCTCTTTCTCTATACATGAAGGTAGCCTGTATTTGAAAGTGCACATGTATATCTCTTTAGTTTAATAGAATAAATGATTTGAAAAAAATCGCTTTTTTATCCTTGTATAAACATTGCAATGGTACACCTTTGAATTCATAAGATTTCAATAAAAGTTAAGCACTGTATAAGTAAATGCAGAAATCCTGTACAGTCTTATTTAAATTTCTGATAATTCTATAACTACATGGCTGTATATCATTTACTGATAATTAAAAAAAGTACATGGTTGTTCATCATTTACTGATAATTGTATACATATATGGATGCATATCATATACTGATAGTGTATAAATACATGGTTGTATATCTTTACTGATCATTGTATAGATACATGTCTGTATATCTTTACTGATAATTCTGTAAATACATGGTTGTATATAATTTATCTGTAGGTGCTAGTTCTCACAGAAATATGTCCAGTAGGCATTCCTACAGTTCAAGGACAAACACAGTCAAGGACATTGAAAAACAGGTAGGCATTGTCCAAGACAGATAATTTAGCACATGGATATTTGAATCATGCCTGAAAACAAAATATTAAATCTTATATTATTTTGGTTCATAGACAAGCCAACAAATGTTTATACTCCTGTGTTTCAAATAGAACTTCATTATCCCTACAAAGCCTACAAATGTCTATATTCCTGTGTTTCAAATAGAACTTGGTTATCCCATCACCTTTTCAGATTAATACACTGACAAAGAAAGCCATGGCAGGGGACACAGTCACAATGGATTTAGTGAAAGATCTTCAAAAGCGATTAGATGAACTAGAAACTCAGATTAGGAGCCCATTGGACAGCTCAAGAAGACAAGGTCATAGGTCAAAGAGCAGAAATGTGGGCCAGGAATATGGGGATAATTCATATGGAGAGGTGGATGGAGGTCAGGGGTCAAGCAAACAAACTGGGTCAGGGTCATGGAGCAAAGAGGACCAGTTTGAAGAACTGACACAAGAGAGGAAGCAACATCGTAATGAGCTTCGACAGCTCCAAACTGAGCTGAGTCGAATCAGACAGACACATCCGATTCGTTCTGTGGAAATCAGTGTCAGGGATTTAGACTACGATGTGTCAGGTTGTACAATATAATTACTGACAGTAATAAGTGCACCGATTTTAATTATAAATTGGATTGCTTTTACACATTATTATTTCTCTTTCTGTAGATGTGATAGGAGAAGGTTCATTTTCCACAGTTTACCATGGTCTATATCAAGGCTCAGATGTAGCTATAAAACAGTTGAAGATTCCTCTCTCCCCTCAGGACTATAACTACTTTGCAGCAGAGGTAATTATTTGTTAATAGATAATAAGAATGAAACAAGACATATACACGTACAACCTACCTTTATCATCTACCTGTATCACCTTTTGAGTGTTTTACCTTTGTCAGGTGACCCTCCTGAAGGTGTATCACCTTTTGAGTGTTTTACCTTTGTCAGATGACCCTCCTGAAGGTGTATCACCTTTTGAGTGTTTTACCTTTGTCAGGTAAACCTGCTAAAGGTGTATCACTTTTTGAGTGTTTTACCTCTTTTTTGTCAGGTGAACCTCCTGAAGGACTTGAGACATCCCCGTGTGGTGCTGCTGATGGGGGTCTGTACCTCTGAACGAGTTCCTCTTATGGTATTGGAGTTTATGGCTAACGGGACACTTCATCAGAGGCTGCATGACTCAACCAGGTCTGTCACAATCATAGAAAATGGTATAAGATAGCACAAACAGTCACAATCATAGAAAACCAGTATAAGATAGCACAAACAGTCACAATCATAGAAAACCAGTATAAGATAGCACAAACAGTCAAAATTATAGAAAACCAGTATAAGATAGCACAAACAGTCATAGAAAACCAGTATAAGATAGCACAAAAAGTCATAATTATAGAAAACAAGTATTAGATAACACAAACAGTCATAGAAAACCAGTATAAGATAGCACAAACAGTCACAATTATAGAAAATGGTATAAGATAGCACAAACAGTCATAATCATAGAAAACAAGTATAAGATAGCACAAACAGTCATAGAAAACCGGTTTAGATAGCACAAACAGTCGATCATAGAAAACTGGTATAAGATAGCACAAACAGTCACAATCATAGAAAACCAGTATAAGTTAGCACAGTCACAATAATAGAAAACCAGTATAAGATAGCACAAACAGTCACAATTATAGAAAACCAGTATAAGATAGCACAAACAGTCATAGAAAACCAGTATAAGATAGCACAAACAGTCATAATTATAGAAAACCAGTATAAGATAGCACAAACAGTCATATTTATAGAAAACCAGTATAAAATAGCACAAACAGTCACAGAAAACCAGTATAAGATAGCACAAACAGTCATAATAATAGAAAATCAATGTAAGATAGCACAAACAGTCACAATCATAGAAAATCAATATAGGATAGCACAAAAAGTCATAATCATAGAAAACCAGTGTAAGATAGCACAAACAACCACAATCGTAGAAAATGGTATAAGATAGCACAAACAGTCACAATCATAGAAAACCAATATAATTAGGGCTGGGTATCGGTGAGGAATTTCATATTGCGATATATTGCAATATTTGGAACCTTATTGTGATATGTATTGCATTATTTTTAATAACAGGTAAAATGCATTTTTCTTATAATTTTATTAACCTTCATTTATAAGCAGAGTGTATATAAAACTTTTATAAATACGTTGTAACAAAAAAGTTCTAGTTGATTTCACTACAGTTTGGCAACAAAATGCAACCATACAACAGAAACCTTTACCGTTAGGTACTGTTTGGCATGATTGAAAACGTTTCTGACTCATTAAATTTCATATTTTACTTTATAAATCTAAAGCCCAAGCATTTTGCCGGCATATTGGTACAGGAAAAACGTATCATAATACAATATTTTTTGTTAACGAATTGTAATATACTGGAATATCGATATTATTGTGCAGCCTTAAGTATAATATAGCACAGTCACAATCATAGAAAAGATACCATTGCACAAACAGTCACATTCATAGAAAAGATGGCACAAACAGAGCCCTGTGTTATCAACTTTTCCAGAACCTGAAACAGATTACCGTAGTAGGGATATAGTTATCACTCTTACTTGTCAGGATCAGACAACCATTTATTACACATAGACTAGGAGAAGTGGTTTGCAATAAAGCGAGTGAGATGAAAAAATATAGTTGAGTTACAGGAACTTGTCCATGCTATAATATATGATTCACATTTAGAAGAGTCCTTGTACATGTATATACTGAATATTGTAAACATATTATTTTGTATTTAATAAACTTATGATTTATTTTTGTTAATTGGGTTTGAGGGTGAGTTGCAGTTTGAATATCCAGTACATACTGGCACGATTACTTGTATATGTCATTCCATTTTGAAGTCTACTTATCAATGCTTACACTAACAGCCCCCCTCTGGATCATGCTGAGTTTTTTCGCTATGCTCACGACATCGCCCTGGGTATGAACTATCTTCATCAACACAAGCCCTCAGTCCTACATCTAGATCTCAAGTCAATGAATGTGTTACTGTGTGGAGACAACAGGGCAAAGATTGCAGACTTTGGATTCTCAAAATTCAGGTGCATTGATTATACAGTATTTTTCCCCCATCAGGAGTTAAAGTGTCATTGCGTGTCATTAAAATTTTCATATGTTGAGAACATGTCAGACTCTATAATAAAACCATGTGCATAGGCAAAAATATGCCCAGAATCTATCATATAATCAGCTTGATCATTCCCTGAACATTTGACTTAATACTTAGATTGAATAATGTCTTAATGATTACAGAATTGATTTCTGAATGTTTTTTTAATTGGTACATTGAAGACATGAAGCAGATCAGAGGGCCAGTAAAACCTCCAAATGTAAGCCAGTCCAGGGCTCCCCCTGCTGGATGGCTCCAGAACTACTGGAGACAGGGGACATAACTACAAAGGCTGACGTCTACAGCTTTGCAATTGTCTTGTGGGAAATGTTGACCAGGAAACAGCCATATGAAGGCTGTTCTGTATATCAGGTAAACATTTATCATCAATCAATTAATTCCAAGAAAATCCAAACATTAAATCCAGATAATAAATCAAGATTTGTAAACATGGAAATTACTATGGGTCTTTATATATATGTTTACCAAGGTATATACATTGTAAAGGAGCTATTATACAAGGATGATATATTCATGGAAGTTTTCTTGCATCTCTAGTGTATTTTCTATGTTTACATTACCCACTGCACTTATCTAAGAATAAGAATAACCATTCCAGTTATAAAAGATATACTTGTATGAAAAGTATGAAAAATATTTTTAACTATGGAAGGTACATGAAATAAAAACTATAATGATGTGATACATAGATTCTGGAGAAGGTTCGTACAAACAAGAGACCAGATATCCCAGAGTGTTGTCCTGCACAGCTGGCCAGCTTCATCAAGAAATGCTGGGATCCTCTCCCGACGAGGAGACCTCCATTCAGGGTATTGTGTTAAATCATGGTGTTAGGGCTACAGAATCACTTCTTCATTTCAGTGTTATTGTGAATGATGAGTCTTTAGATATTAAGGAAAATTCTAGTTAAATATTTAATATCCATAATTTCTAAGCATTTTTAGGGTACTGTTGGTTTGAAATTGATATGTTTGACTATCTTCTTGAATTTTTGACTCTAGGACATCCTGGTTAAACTGGACAATATGACCTTCCCCCCAGATTGGCAGGCGCTATTTAAGGAGGCAGGAATTCCCCCTGTGGCTTTAGAAGATGTCCAGTCAGCACGCACCATTATCAGTCTAGTCAGCAACACCCTGGATACAGAAAACGTACGCACACTTGTTCAGGATATTCGAGTGTCACATGACAGTCATGTGCCAACAACAGAATGTCTTACCCTGTGTATCCCTGATGACAGCCCCACTCCTCGTCCAAGATCAAGTCTGGATTCTGACACTTCAGATGAGAGTTTCATATTTCCTGATGCCTTAACTGAAAATAAATTGGGTATTCCATCTCCAAAGCCTGATCAGGGAGTGAATAGTAGTGTTGATTTAAGTCTGAATCTTAAGGCTCTGGAAAGTGAGAGCTCTCCTGCAATACCTGAACCAGCTAAAACCATGGAAAAGAATTCAAAGAACAATTCAAAATCACCAACAGAGAAACAGGAAACAGCTTCTCCAAAATTCAGTGTCAGCAGGCTTTCCTTAGACTGTGAAACTCTAGAAAAACAAAAAGATAAACTAAGAGCCTCAACTGACAGAAATTCTGCTAGAAGACAAAATCCAACAGAAAAGACTCCAGAAAATGTGTCAGAAAAGAAGAGGGTTAATAATGAAGAAAGATCTGCCAAAACTCCAAAGCCAACTCCAAGATCATCAAAAAGTGCTACACATTGTTCACTTCAGGATGAACTTAAGCTTAGACTTGGTAGTGGAGATACACTGAAATCAAGCACCCACCAGACACAAGTGACAAACAAATCTAATTCTAGTCCAAAAGAGAAGGACAGTGGTTTATCACCAATACGTGACCCCAAAACAAAAGTATCAGAGACTCTGAAGACCTCCCCAGAAGCTGGTGTGTGTACAATGTCGAGTGTTGCAATTGAGGAAGAGAGTGAGGATATTCCTGAGGAGATTGAGGAGGCAGACAGCATTGATGAGGATAGTTTAGAGGAAATGCCAATGAGGGACAGCCTGGAAACAGACCGAGGACTATTAAAAAATGAATCTAATTCCTTCACAGTGGTAGCAGACACCAACATGAAAGGGAATGGTTCAGTCAGCAAAAGCAAAAATGGATCAATCTTAGATGAACTTAACTCCAAGTTTTATGATGCAAAGAAGGTGAAAGTGATAGGGGAACAGACTGGTGCCCCTTTGTCCTTGGGAACAGCCAGGCAGAGTATTGAGGCATGGGTTGATGAAAAAGAACGAATTGATAGTGCTAGAAGTGACCGCTCCAGAAAAAGAACACCCCCTTCACAAACGATGCCACCCCCTATATTGATCCCAGAAAACCCACCACCACCACCTCCCCCTCCTCCACCCCCACCTTTTCCTGTCCAGAATTTACCAGGACCATCTCCCTCCTCACAGACAGGATTCTCAGTTGTCTCCCCTTCACAATCCCCCCTAAAAGCTACATTTCCTTCGTCCACCTCCCCACACCGTAAGCAGCCTTCAAAATCTGAGACACAGCTCAGAACTAAATTCAATTCTGAAAACACTAGATTTATGTTGAAATCCGTTGAACTGCGAGAACAGAGGGAAATGCTTCAGCCAACAGATGAACCCCATCCTTATCAACTGCAAGATCTGAGCCAAGTCAGCAAGGGCACAATATCATCTATAGCAGAAATCCTCAAACAGGTAAATATCTCAATCAGTTAGCAAGGGCACTATATCATCTATAGCAGAATTACTTAAACAGGTAAATATCTCAACCACTTAATTAGCAAGGGCACTATATCATCTATAGCAGAAATACTTAAACAAGTAAATATCTCAACCACTTAATTAGCAAGGGCACTATATCATCTATAGCAGAAATCCTCAAACAGGTAAATATCTCAACCAGTTAGCAAGGGCACGACGTCATCTATAGCAGAAATAAACAGGTAAATATCTCAACCAGTCAGCAAGGGCACCATATCATCTATAGCAGACATACTCAAACAGACAATGTCCCAGTCAATATATCATCTATAGCAGATATTCCAAACAGGTAATATCTCAGTCAAAGCAGGCACTTGATTGCTTCCGGGCAAGAGATTTTGTCTCTTATAAATACAGATAAAGGCATTATATGCATGCTCATCAAGTATCTGTCAATATTCAATTCAAATGTAATGCATGAATTAGCATATGGGCCAAAGGATCAAGTATTTTCTTCATTATTTGTCTTGATGATGAAAAGTTAGTTAAGCATTTTTCCCGAGTAGCAAGTAAATGTTGTACTTTAAAATATTTACATTTGTAAATGTTTTCCCTTGTATAGCACTTTTTGAACAATAAGACATATTTAAGTTTGTATTAAAGGTTCATAAACCTTCTGCTAATTCATACAAAATGTTGCTTTAACTTTAAATTGATTTTCTGAAAAAAATGTGTTTTATAAGTAAAATACAAGCAATTCTATCATGGCTTGCAGGGCAAAATTAAACAAAAAAACATATCAACTTTACAAATCTATAAAGGAATAATGGACATTTATGTCAATAAGAGTTATCTGTCTTATCAGAGTATCAATGAACCTTAAACAGGTTCATCACATGACCATAAATTCTTTGTTAAGTCTTAAATGATTGAGTTAATTTCACAGTGACATCATAAGTGGTCGACGTGTTCAGCACATTCAATTTATACCGTTGAGGCTTGAAAAAAATCATTTTATAGGTTTAAAACTATAGTACACAAATATTTGCTATAAATCCATCACAAATGTAAATATATGTAATAAGGTATCATTTTTAAACATTTATTGGGATATAAATACGAGTTGGTAAGCCCTTTGGCTTTATGGGATTTGACCAAGTGACCAACCCTTATTTACATCCCGAAAAGTTTTAAAATGATACCTAATATTTTTATAAATAAGCTTACTTTTCTGAAGTTTACATATTAATTTAAAATTATAGATTGTGTTTACTCTTTTTATTTAGGCTGTTTCCAGTAGAAGAGTAGCAATGAAGGAAGACACACATAGTCCCACCCACTCTGTGGCTAGTAGCTGGTCTTTTGTGGATGATTGACAGCATTAAACGTACATAGCCCCACCCACTCTGTGGCCAGAAGTTGTCTTTTTTGGATGGTTGATGACATCAGCATTACATTGCCAGCTTAGAATATGCTCTCATCACTTAAACACTTTTAAATGTAGAAATACTGTACACATATAAAAGATCATATGCAATGTACATGTGTTTCTTAGATTTTTTTTTTTTTTAATATCAATAATTTAATTAAATAGTTTGCTTGCATGAATAATATAAATCTAGAATGTGTACCAATATCACCTTGATTAAATCCTAAAATGCCTTATCAGTTGCCAGTATCTCATCATCAAATGTCAGTGCTTATAAAATGTCTACACAAGAACTGTGTGATACAGCAAGTCAGCAAACACTTTGTAAAGTGCTAATATAAATGTATTATTGTGTGTGTTATTAAAATGCGTATATCTGATCAGCCTTTTTTAATATGCCTCTCATTGTGTTAAGCCTTACTTAAGTCACTCTGGTAGCATACTGCTATCTATACATGTATTGGTCTGTTATAATTTTTTGTCTATTGGTCATAAATTTGTGAGAATTTTCAGCTTCTGCTTTGAACTAGCTAAAACAATATTGACAAATTATATTGTTTTATGTAAACTGGTACAAAACTATGAATTTCAAGCCCCTCCCCCTTTTACATGGTTAAGAAAATGAAAATGCATTCAATGCTCTCAAGTCATACACCGGTTGCTTATGACCTAGAGTCTGTCACAGAATAGATCTAGGTCAAGGTCAATGGGAGTAAAATATGAGTATTATAATAAGTAACAAGAAAACATTAAAAGCTTGTTGACAAGAAAAAAAATTATATTTTTTGTTTAAGCAGAGACACTTCAGGAATTTGTACCTGACAGACATGACTAGTTTATTTTTTAACTCTAGGTACTTTGTTGACTTTTGAGGCCTATGAGTCTCATCTCCACTTGACATTTATATTACAAAAGAGCAACTTGAAAGTTGAGAATGTATAATACCATAGTTTATATTTATGCCCACAAACCAACTAATAGGCTCAGATAGAATTTCAATTTATATGACTAATTTTATATTAATAGCTTTCAAATTGTATTTTTGATATCAATTTCTATTGTAGAGCATGATATCACGTAATTATATTCCTGACTGTTAATTATATGAGTATGTCCCATTATGATTTTTTTTTTAGGACTTATGCATGTATATGTATTTGTCTAGTTTTTATTAATTATTTATTTAAGAACATATTCTCCACAAATCCATCCTTAGCCGCTATTATTAAGCTCAGGGTTGTGTATGCATTGCCTGCCCACTGTTTACAGTTCACAACATTATCACTGTTATTAATCAGAATTATAGTAGTAGAAAGTGAAATGTTTCTCTATTATTTATACCAAAAATATACATAAAAGTAGTATGTATATGTACATGTAGACATACTGTATATCAGATAAGTAATAAATATTCTGTAAAGATTTCCTATGTAATTTAAGTAAAGCATTTTTTTAGCACCGCGAGATACTTCAGTTTGACAATACATGTACTAAAACATTTTAACAGTTAACTGGGATGAAAGTACTGAAAAGTGCAGTTTTTAAAAATAAATTATGTACTGATATATGCTAGAGACCAGTCTTTATTCATTTACTGTAATTTTAACTGTTGTGACGAATATTTTTACACTGTAAGTTTGTATGTTCAACTTGTAATAATGCTAGTATTTAAATATACAGTATTTGTGTAATGAGACCAATAATTTTTATTTTATTAAAAAAGTGTTTTAAATTTCTATTATTTGGTACACCTGTTCACTTTTATAAATTTCTGATTTTTGAAAATTCCACTGTGATAGTTTTTATAATCTTACACAAAACACATTGATATTGTTTGTCACTTATTTATTTTACAAAAATAAAATGGCATTGAATAAAAATGTCAACCACAAATCATCTACTGTTTTTAATTAATCTGTCAATCTATCAGATTTTCAGTCCTCCGTCCTCTGGTTTCCATTTCCTGCCCACTTTATGTGAAATATTTTACTGTCCTTTACAAATGGTGTGTGAACACAATTCTCTCTTTTAATTGAGTTGAGCTGTAAACTATCACATCTGCTGTAAATTCTCTGTTAAATCTGCTGTAAATTTCCTGTTAAATCAGCTGTAAATTTCCTGTTATATCAACAGTAAATTGCCTATCATGTCAGCTGTAAATTTCCTGTCACATCAGCTGTAAATTTCCTGTCACATGGGCAATAAAAGTCTGCAGGTACATGATCCCAGCTAATGAAGGTGCACTGAAAAAATATGATTTGAGATGAGGAAATTATGGCAATTAACCTGTTCATTTCTTGACATAAGGTAAAAGTACTTACCAAACAAGAAATGGCTGAGGAAAGCAGATATGTGTGTGCTTGTTAGCATGGTCTAAAACCTCCATCAAATTTTTCACAAGAACTGATCTTCTGGGTTTGTCAATCTTTGTCATAACAATCTGTCAAATACGTGTTAATAAAACATGATATACTCTGAATAGGTAAACATTTATTGCCAACTTGCCCAATATAAAAATAGACATACAGCATAAGGTTTGGCAAGGTTCTCCATCATCTTTAGTCCCTGTTTATCTAAATTGGTAAGTCCTTGCTCACTATCCACTAATAAAAACGACCTACAGAGTCTAAAATAAAAGAATTTCATCATGAATTAGACATCCATACCACTTATTATTTTGATCAGTTAGCTTTAAAATCCAGTCTGCCTCATCTGACTGAGCTATTAGTTTACCCACCAGCCACTGCTGCTAAGGATGTGAAATCCTTATAAATAACATACCTAAAGCCACTTCTACACACACCCATTCTCTAACCCTGTACTTATTTTTTCTTTTCTTGCCAACTCCATCAAATGTCAACACTTTATTGACATATAGAGCCTCAAACATAGCAAAATCTGATGTTCATGGTCCTTCAAATTTAACCTTAGTATATGACCTTGATCTGACCTGATTTAATCTTTACTCATACCAATTATCAATGTTTTATTATGTTCCCCAAACGAAGTTTGGGAACATATTGTTTTTACTCTGTTTCTTATTATTATTATTATTATTATTCTTTTTTTCTATTTTCTTCTCCGGTACTTTTTTGTCCGGGAGTGTTCTCATAGAACCACTCATCCGATTGACATGGAACCTTTTTAGGGTTAATAGGCATGTTGTGTAGGTGTTCGGAACGAAGGTCATTTTGCGCGCACCTGCATGCACGTGCGCGCACGTGCAATGAGTGAAATGACTGATATACTTGATGAAGCCGTAACTTTTATATTTCTTGATGAATTGCTTTGAAACTCAAAATATAAAGATATATTAGTAGTCTAGACAAGATGACATGGTCAAATTAGCGTGAACTCACGCGCATGCACGTGCGCTCTCCTCTGATTGGCTGATACAAAAATCTCAATATTTTCCTTGTTTTTTGACAAAATACTTTGAAATTTAGAATATAAGTATATATTATAAGGTGCTACAACATTTTATATAGGAAATTTCTTGAAAACACGCGCATGCAGGTGTGCTGCAATCTGATTGGTTGAAACTTTAAATGTCTATAACTCCCTTGGTTTTCAACAAAACAGGATGAAATTTACGACATGGAAAGGCACATAGAGCTCCTACATTATGATACTATCAAAACTGAATGCAAGGCCATGCATGCGCGTATGCTGAATTCTGATTGGCTAATACTTAAATGGTCACATCTCTCTTATTTATCAATGAAATTCTTTAATATTTAACACAAATGTATGTATTGTGAGACACTATAAGAAAATTAATGTGAAAAATGTAGAAAACATGTGCAAGCACATGCACTGAAATTTGATTAGCTAATACCCATATGGCTATATCGGAGTAGTTTTCCAATGAAATACCCTTAAATATAAAGTGTCCATCTATATTACAAAAGTATTGTCTAATTTATTGAAGCTTGTAGGGAATGGGGCATCATAAGGGATTGGGGAGCCGTTTGGGGAACATCTGTAACGGTTCCCGTTACAATTAGCACTAGTTTCTTATAGTTTAAACTAATGGGTCCAAATCACATATATAAAACCAATTGATTTCAAAATTGCTCACTCTGTGAGACTACTGTAAACACATCATCATAATCATGCTATTTTAGCAAACATTACTCATTATTTGCATCTTTACAAGATTAAATAGAACTCACTCTCTTCTGGTCTTGAGGTAGGTGTGCATGGTCTCTGTGTAATAGGATGGCATGTTTGTACCATAGCCTGGCATATCCACCAGGGAAAGCTGTTTACCCACATTGAAAAACAGCAAAGTTTTGGTCAATCCCTACAAGAACAACACAAAATACACAACAAATCCCTTACTTTAGCTTAGAAAAATATAGGATAAAATCCTAAGTATTGATGAGAGAATTCCAAAATATGCTACAAGTTTAACAGATTACACCTGTGTTATCTACCTTTACTTACTGGTGTTTTACCTATCCTGACTAGGTTAGTGTTCACAGCATTACAAAACAATGCATTGATTAGTGAGGACTTTCCAACATTACTTTGGCCAACAAAGGATACCTGTACAGAAGAAATATTTAGTGGTGTTAATTCCAGCAAGCTTTCCTACTAGGTAAGGATGATGGAGATAAACAGATTACTTAAGTAACCAGAAGAAATTTTAAAATATCTGTGTTGCGTAGAAATTTAAGAAACTGTGACATTGAATATGTCCACAGTAATGACTGTGATCAGCTTTACTTTCCTCAGCTATTACATTCACCACATTAAATACTGAATCTCTCTCCCAGTTGCTTAACTATGGGAACAAAGAGTTCATTATAGCTAATAATTACACAAACCTCTGGAATATTCTGTACTGGTAGCTTTTCTAGATCTACCACTGATTTCACCATTTTGATAACATGCCCAGGTTTTTGTATAAAGAGATTGTGTCCCTTCTCTATGTCCTCTGGAGATGGGTTAAATAGATAGTTTTCTTTCTTTATAAGTGGGACAGCAACAAAGTCCTGTAAATCCTCTATTGGATTGATCCTCCAGGAATCTGCATGACTTCTCAAGGAATACTCCCTGTTCCATAGACTTGTGACATTTCTGAAGACCTGGACACAGGGTTCAAGTCTCTTGACAGAGGAAATCATGCCAGTCACTACTAATCTCATATTCAGCACATCACAATAATCAAGCAATGCAAACCATTTCAAGCCCTCCTTGAATCAAGCTTCTATAATGCCAGTTATAATACCTATAGAAACCAGACACATTCCTTTTAACAGGAGTTGACCTTAATTAGCATCACAGGAACTTTTGATAACTTTTTATTTAAAGACTAAGCCATATAGAGTTAAAATGATGAGAAGTTAAGGATCACAGTGTCCTTAGCACTGTACTTACTGTTTAACTGACTGGTAAATTGTATGTGAAATTCCAGATATACCTGCACAGCCATAAGATAGACGTGGGCATATGACTCAGCTAATTCCCCAAGATTCTATCATATAAAACATTATTATTTTGCTGTACCTACAATAAAAGTTTTAGATAAATTATTAAAAAAGAACACTGCATAGACAACACAGCTCATTTCTTGCACAAGTTGATTTGAAGTAGTGTCCATGGGTCTATCAAAATTTAGTTTGTTATCATATGTGACAGGAAAGGAGAAACTGTGTGGCTTGACCCACAGGCACTTAACATTATATATGTTTCTTATCACAAGAAAAATATGACATCAAGTGCCTATGGCTGGACCAGGAATTGAACTTGGGCCCCCTATGCATCACAAGTCAAGTGCTCTAACCAATGGACTATCCAGGCCAAAACCACTACATTTCTCCCTTGTACCTTAAACTATCTTTGCTCTGGAAGACACGTAACTCAGATTCTTTTAGCCGATTTGGGGGGGGGGGGGGGCAGCAGGGCACTAGCCCCCTACTTTCAGATGGGGGGGGGGGGGGGGCAAGAGTATGTCTGTGCCCCCCCCCCCCCCCACTTAATGTAGAACAAAATCACAGTTATGATGAAATTATAGTAAACCTCATTTTATGGCAAATTTATTTTATTTGCATCAACAACTGAGTAAGCAATTTTCTTGAAGTAACAGTAATGTAATATACCTTGTATCTTTTGCCCTCCGATATTTATTTTATATATATATATTTAGAATACTATAGAAAACATAGCTACTATATCATTGTGCGCCTCAATAATAACGTCTGATGACCTTTTTTTTTTTTTTTTTTTTTTTGTTGTCAAGGAATTTGAACTGAAAATATATGGTTGTGCCAACTCAAAGTGAAATTGCTTCCTACAGGCCTGTTAATTTCTTTATATTACACGTTTTAGAACTTTCTTGGATTTGAGCCCCCTCCCCTCCCAAATTTTAAGTTTGTGACTACGCCTCTGTGTTTACATATTGATACTACAAAACATTCATGTAACTATTTAGATACATGCTTTATGCAGAGAAAACAAATCCATGGACTATAAAGATTGTGAGAATTTGTCTGGCATGCTGTAGCCATTATAATATTTTCCCTTTTCTTTTTTCTGTTGTCCGTCATTTGATTTGTTATTTTGACTTTATACCAACATGGTGATGAATAAATTTAATACTAATAATTGAACATTCAAGATAATTTTTCCAATTAGCCCTTTCACGATAACTGCAGCATTACTCTTTTGCAGGGCAAATTAATAACGTTTGTTGTTTTGTTGAACAGATAATTAAATAACGTATATCAAACAATTGCTTTTTCATCATATTTCACTCAGCTATACATGTATCATTTGCTAGCTTGCAAAAGAGCAGTAACACAGTTATCAAGAAACAGTCTATTGTTGAGACAAATACAATGATCACTTAAAATTCTTACATGGAGCATTCTAGCATAATGCAAAAGGCCTGACAGCTCTCAATATTATTTCTTTTGGAAAAAGGCCATATCTTATTATATACATCTACTACATTTGAAAACTTAGCTGGAGCTTAGTTTGGAGGTGGGAGTTCGGCAATGTAGCTTAACCTACAATCCCCAGATTTATAAAATTCGACGCTCAATCCACAGGTTCTTGGAACATGTATATACCTATTGATATTTGTTAAAACATAAACAGTGTGGCTCTACCGACTGTGCTAAACAGCTAAAGGGTAACCTAATAATATCTACGGGCTTGCAGGAGCGTAGTCTCAATATAAGTTGACAGATACTATAGTAGTTACAAGTCCAGTGAGTCTCAGGTGTCCACTCACTTAATCTAAAGGAAAACTTCTAACTTTTCAATATTTTCAATTTTGTGTTGGGCGCAGACATGTTGGTTTGTATTTCTAGATCTCGATCCCGACCATAAAATTTATCTCACGTTTTCACTCTTTTCAAGACCCTTCATCAATAAATCTAAAATGCACGTTACATGTTCATCACAGAAGGACTTGATGTGATTGGTTGAGAGATAAGAAAAACAATCATGATTTGTAATTTTCCCGAAAGACATCACTGCAGTCAGCATGTAAGATATCAAATGAAGTTTGTCAAGGGTGCCATGGCAACCTGTTGACACAAGACCCTTGATGTTGTATCAGGATTTATATTGCCTATTGGACAGGAGAATATTAAACTGATAAAATTTCTATGGAAAATTCTCATTGTTATGTAATATGTATACATGTATCATCAAATGAATTAAATCAAATAAATTTTCGTTTCTACAAATTATTTCATTTGATGATACATGTATACCTAAACAATGAGAATTTTCCATAGAAATGGATGTGACATAAACACTTTTGTATTGTTTGTAAATTGTTCTACAGTACTGCTGTATCTCAGATTGAATCAGGACATATATGTCACAAGAAAGGAGAAAATGTATGGCTGGACCAGGAATCAAATTTTTAATAGGGTTCTCTCACACTGAATCAGGACATATATGTCACAAGAAAGGAGAAAATGTATGGCTGGACCAGGAATCAAACTATAGGGACCTTTACATCACTAGTAAGGCGCTCTACCAACTGAGCTATCCAGGCAATATCCATGGTCTAGCCATACATTTTCTCCTTTCTTGTTACCAATACATGGACCAGTACTAATTTAGCACATCGTATGTACAGGGGTGGGTTCATGACTAAATTCACACTGCAATTGTACATAGTCATTATAAATACAACAAACAAAAATTTAAACATATGATTTATCTTTAACCTAGTATTCAAGAAACACAAAATAAACTGCATAGATATTAGTTCCCATACAAAATATTTTTAGATTACTTATTAATTGCCTGCAATATACATTAAAGAGAAACATACAATTATTGTCAGTAAAAATAGCTTACTTAATCTGAAGTCTCTAAAAATAAAAAATACATACTTATCAATTTAAACTAAAATAAATATGTATTTTTTTTTTTTATACAAGTGTATTAATGTGATTAGATGTACTTAATATCATATTATCAAGAATAGCTTTGAAGTTCAACTTGAGTGTTGAATATATACTGTCTTGTTAGATAAAATGAATCTTTTTTGGCAGATAAGACTGTTTTAAATATCATTCAATAAGAATAAAGAAAAAAATCTAATATCAAGCATGGCACAGTTGGCACTAAATCAAAATTTTGCAATTATATATTGCACAAATTACTATATATAGTTACTATTAACCACAATACATGTAACACGTCATCATGAAATTAAACATATAGAAAGATCTGATGCCAATGCTCTGCATAACAGATAAATCTTCAATACTAACTCATTTTAATTAGACTAGAAACTGATATGATTGCCTTTTTATGTATACATACCTATTATGCATATGTTTTACTTACCCTTTTATGTAATTCAAGAAGATTATGAAAAAGACTGACTTTAAAAGAAAGGAATTACAATGCCCATGTAGATTATCATTTTTTCATATGAAATGAATTTGACATCAAGTTATTGATTATAACTTTCACCATGTTCACTGACCAATTGTTAAGTGTATATCTGTATAGTTCAAAAGATCATAGAAATTATCCTTGATTATGCATGTTCAAAACTGATCTTGGTAGCAAACAAAAAGGTTACAAAATTGTTCAATCATCATTTATAAGTATATTTAGCTGCAGAAATCATACAGCACACTGATCATTTAAATATTTTATGCAGTATAGTGCCAAACACATTTCATACATTAAAAACCCTTGAGCTCTGTGATTTCAAAATGAGTCAGATCTAAAATTTGATGAAAATTCATCCAAACTGAGGAAATTAATAGTTTTTCAATTACAAACTATCACAATTTTAACTAATCTGATTTTTACATTATATTAGGGGTTATAATTTGGTCTTGTAATACCTTGTTTTTCTATTTGACCCTTGACATTTAGTTGACCCTGATTATACCTTATTCAGCAGCTTTATCAGTGTGAAATTCTTATTCATCTAAGATAATGTCTCTATTAAATATTAAACTCACGATTTGTACATGTAGTCATCCACAAAAAAGGAAACAGAACAAAGACAGTAAATGTCATTCATAAATTTGAGTCATTATTCATATTTAACATAACTAATAAGACAAAGGCAGAATACATAAGCAATACAAATACATGTTAATTTCATGAAACATCGATGATTCCCAGAATGGCGGCATATGTTCCTGTTATACAACCTACAATTCCTAGCAACATAATGGCAACGTCTTTAAGGATAACCAAAACGGAGGGGCGACTGCTGTCTGCTGAGAGAGTCACTAGTTGAATGATAGGTGGAAAAATGAAAGCTAATGAACTGCTAGCCATAGCACCAATCAGAGCTATCAAAAGGTCCAGGTGAGGAATTACCATAGCTATCACACCTACAACATACAGAGAGAAATATCACAGAATACAGATAAAGATTACCATAGCTATCACACCTACAAACATACAAACAAAATTGTAACAGATTGCAGATGTCAGGATCGCACTTATATAACACTTACGAAATAAACAACATACTGTGGATTTAATAGGCTAAATGATCAAATTCTTTACTTTTTGAGAGTTGATCTTATTTAGACACATGTATTCCTATCTGTAAGTCTCATAGTGATACCAAAACATAATCATGCATTAAAATATCTAACATCATCAACTCTGTTAAAGTTTTAAACTTTCAGTCCACCAAGTGACTGAATTAAATAATTGATGAGATAAAGTTTAACAAACATACAAACATGCAAAATATACAGTTTGTTATAGATTACTTATCTAACAAACACATTCATGGTCATAAAGTTAAAGATCATAGTACATTAGCAAAGGTCTTGTCACAGGTAATATCATGTGAAAAAATATGAAAGCCCTACTGTCTTTCATTCAAGGATCAAACTTAAAATTTTTGGAAAGTAGGTCAACATCAAGTTCAGAGTCATCAGGTCAAAATCACAGTACATTCTGAAAGGTCATGTCAAAGATAATACACATGTGAAATAGAAAGTTCTATCGAAAGATTGACAGATGAAATTTAATGTCCCAGTGCTCTCACAACAGTGGTGATTAAAATATAGCTAAATCATACATACATGTACATGCATTAAATTTCCTATCAATTTGACAGTTTATGTCTGACATCATGATATAGGCCTTTAGATACTCACCTGTAAACAGAATAACACAAATTCGAAACACAATATTGCCCACAGATCTGGCCTTGGAACTTGAAAGTCTGCGTTCTATTTTTGGCCATATTATATTAACTGGTACATAAAACTGAAGTCCATAAGTCACAAACACAGAAACAACAAATGTTATTTTGGTCAATCTTGAGAGCCTGAAAAATACATGCATATAATTATAAGGCATATGCAATAATGTGAATGTGGGATTCTTTCCTGCACTGACTTAAAAATTCCAAGTTGGAATCAAAATCTACAGGTTTTTGATCTGTTACTGTCATTGTCAAACATACTTGCATTCACAAATAACTTATAAGTCTTCACACTCTTCAAACTTCTGGGTATTAAAAAAAATATTTGAAATATATATGTAATTCCATCATATTTATATTATTTTTTTAAAAATCTGTAGATGTCTATGCAAAAGCAGTGTAATGTGAGCTTGACGTACTTGTCTTCTGGTGATAGATTTAGTGTGATGAAGGAGCTTGACTTACAATCTGCTGGTGGTAGATTTAGTGTGATGTTGGTGTTTGACTTTCATGTCTGCTGGTGGTAGATTTAGTGTGATGTTCGCGTTTGACTTTCATGTCTGCTGGTTGTAGATTTAATGTGATGTTGGTGTTTGACTTTCATGTCTACTGGTGGTAGATTTAGTGTGATGTTGGTGTTTGACTTACATGTCTACTGGTGGTAGATTTAGTGTGATGGATGAGTTTGACTTACATGTCTACTGGTGGCAGATTTAGGGTGATACTCCCTAAGGCATGATCCCCATACTTGAGATACCCTAGAAATCCTATGGCCATGTAGAGAGCAATTACAATGGTCATTCCCAAGGTCAGGAGTCCATATCTCCTGGAAAAGTCCATCTCATCCCGAGCTTTGTTTTTCAGCGGCATCACCTGTAGGGATTTCTTTACAGTATACAGTTTATTATCACAAATAAAATATTTCCGTAGTCAATAAGATACTTCCTGTGAATTGCCATTTATTTACTGGATTTTACTTGGAAGAAGCAGTAATGCATCAATACCAAAGATGTATATAAAATTTCAGAAATTGAAGTTTCTCTACATTTAATGATTATATCTCCTGAATTGATTATTTCCACTTTCCCTCATTCTAAATGTTACTTACCAAACCAATGCCTTCAAAAGCGTAGACAGCTGTTCCAAAATACATAGGAAGATCAAACCATCCTACAAATGCTGGTCTCTCACTCGGCAGAGGAGTGTCCTGAACAACGTAAAATATGACAAAGAAGAGGCCGGCGAAGTTCAGGAAGTTAGCGATGAGTGAGAAGTAGGAAAGGCCGTGTAGACTCTGTATTGTGGTGCAGTAGATGATGATTACAATTAGTTCTATCCCCATTATAATCATATCAAGGTGGATGTTTGCCTTATTGCTGCTCAATATCACCTACAACACAAGAGTACCATAACATAAAGGGGTGTGGCAGAGTGAATCAACTACAACAAAGGAGTACCTTAACATAAAGGGGAATGACAGAGTGAATCAGATGGTAGTTTGAAATTCAAAACTTAACAAAATCTTCAGAAAAGTTAGATCAAACTATGTACTTTATATTGAATACATAATATCCTGGGAACCATTTTACAAAAGAACTTACGGCTAAGACCAAACTGTAATTTTGTGAATAACTTTCTTTGCATTAATTTAAAACAGTATTAATACTTTTAAAAAGAGTTTTAAGAGGTATTTTTATGCAAGTAATTTTTTAAAAAAAATTAGTAATTTTGCAACATTTTATATTTAGCTGAAGTTTTAGGTCTTAGTATTAAGTTTTTATGAAAAACGGGCTCTGGTGAATTGAATCCTCAAATTCAATGTAAATAAATATTTAAACTTAAGTCTTGAATTTGGATATTTTTTTGAAGGTAAAAAAAAAAGCACAGACACATAGTTGCTAACTCACTGACAAAACACCCAAATTATCTTGTGTTCATTTTTGCCTTACAATCACCAAAACATGAGAATGTTTTTAGTACTTCATAAGTATGATGACAAATTTTTTGCAAAAAGACAACTCACTTTCAAGTTGATGTGGGTTTTCAGATGTGCAAAAAATAACTAAAAACTGCACAATTAAAGCTATGTAGGAAACATATGTAATACTTGGTATTTCAGGTTGAAAAACATACAGTAAAACACAGTTTAATATAGTAAAGTACCCGGGACGATTGATTTTGATTTGTTATAAACTTAATTTGTTATATCCGTGAAGATCATACTACATATTAAATCTAAAGAGAATAAAATCATTTCGCTGTAAGCAAAAATTTATCATAAGCGTGTTCATTATAACCATGTTTTACTATATAGAACAATGACAGGCTCTTATTTCTAAGGTTCACAAGTTCTAACATTATTTTTGGTTTATGAATGCATTGGGAAAAGATAAAAATTACAAAAATACAGGCCACAGGTTGTGAGTGCTGACAAATCAGAGGAGAGGTCCAGTGTATGTAAATAAAATAATAACCAACCACTGGTTTAGATCAGGCACTGTAAAATGTTTAAATGAAAATCAATGAAATTAGAAACAGAATAATGCTTATGTATGTGCATTAATATGCAATGAATATTTATTTATCTAACATTTGGAGTCTATTATATAACACAAGAAAACATTCTGTTTTACCTGTCTGAAATTCTGGGCCACAAAAACAATATATACACAACAAAAGCCTAGCTGGGTCACAATCAGGAAGACATTGATCACTATTCTGAAGAAAAGAACAGGTGATTAGATAGGAAAGTACTGTGGCTAAGAATTACATGTATATGATAGTTTACCGTATTTGCACTGATTCTCTTCCAAAACATTTCCTCATTAAATCTTTTCCCAACATCAAGAAGTTTCAACAGATACAGATAAAAGGTAATTGAATTTTTTTTTTCCTTAATTCATTTCAAAATGGAGACAAGTACCATCTAGAACCTAAACCTTACCGCCCTGCATTCTGGAATCTCCGTAGACAGAGGGGTCCTGTTGCTAGGCAGTTTTCCACCACTCCTGCATATCCAATACTGTGTCCCATAGATCTGACGGCAGAATTAAGATTTACTGAAATTTTCTATTAGGTCAAATAATTATTTAAACCAGAAGTCCCTGACAAGATTGTAGCTCTACTGATTTGTACTTCATTATAACAAAGGAAGAGAATAGTTTCGCTTGCACTTGAAAGAGCAATAAATAGAACAATGGTCCTTGGTTTAGTCTCTTTTTGTTGCAAGATTTATTGTAATCAAACTAAAACTGTTGGAGAAGTAGCCTTTTGAAAGAATTTCACAGAAATTTCTATCTTTAGTAACCATGGCAACACCATTCATCAAAATCAAAAACTGATGCATAGAATTATGTATCTTAGTGTAGTCTACTTTCATGCCAAATTATACTTAAATCAGACCAAAAATGTAGGAGAAGTGCTTTAAAGGAATGTCAGAGAATTTTCTATTTTTATTAACTACTGAAACACTATTCATCCAAATAAAAAAAACTGATGCACATAATTACATATCTTAGTGTTGTCTACTTGTGTACTGAGTTATATTGAAATCAGACCAGAACTGTAGGAAGAGTAACATTTTTAAAAAAATGTTTACAGACAGACAGCTAGATAGATGGATGGATGACAGACACTTTACTATCCCATAAGTTCCTCTGGTCTCTGACCAACAGAGCTAAAAAAAAATACCATTTAATCAAATTTAGTACCCATAAACTATGAGAAAATATCAAGGAAAATTTCTCAAAAACCGAGATTAAATAATTGATAAACAAGAACACAATACAAGAAAGGAACATGTATGATTATGCCCAATTTCACAGCAGATATCACAAGAGTTCCAACAAGGGAAGTGGATCAAATAAACCTACTGGGTAAAATAGTATACAGTACTTACATGGGTCTCTCCCTCAGAATATCACTGCATGTCATCAGCATGTGTTGGCAGTGGAGAGAAACATAGCCCAGGAAAAACAGCCCCGCAGCACCGGCCTATCAAAAACAATATACAGCTCAAACAATGGCAACATTCTCATCAAAAACAAAAACAGATATACAAATACAAGCACTTATCTGTGTATTCTGATGTAGTATTTGTTTTAAATGTTATTTAACTTCAACAAAAACTGTTGAAATAATAGAAATTTCAAATTTTTTTTCCCAAAACAGACAAAAGGTCCATGGGCCACATCGCTCGCCTGAGCACCCTGGCTAGGAAAAAAGCAAAAATCGTTCAGTATAAAAAGCTGTAATACATAAGTGGTCCAGACCTACCCCTAAAAGGGGTGGGTGGGTGTGTGATTTGAACAAAATTGAATCTACACTTACAAAATATGCTTACATATTTCTTTTACTAACTGTGACTTTTTTCACTACAACTTTGAATTTTTCATTAAGGTCCCACCTTACCCCCTACAAATCTGAATCTACACTATCTGAGGATGCTTCCATATAAATATGACCATGCAATCATAGCTTTGCTGTTCTTGAGAAGATTTTTCCTATATATTCCTATGTAAAACTTTGATTGTCCATTATGGCCCCACCCTACCCCTGGGGGCCATGATTTGAACAAATTTGAATCTACACTACCTGAGGATGCTTCCATATAAATATGATCAATCATGGCTTTGCTGTTCTTGAGAAGAAGATTTTTAAAGATTTTTCCTATATATTCCTATGTATAATTTTGATCGTCCATTGTGGCCCCACCCTACCCCCAGGGGTCATGATTTGAAGAAACCTGAATCTACACCACCTGAGGATGCTTCCATATAAATATGATCAATTATGGCTTTGCTGTTTCAAGAAGATTTTCAAAGATTTTTCCTATATATTCCTATGTAAAACTTTGATCGTCCATTGTAGCCCCATCCTACCCCCAGGGGTCATGATTTGAACAAACTTGAACTTACACTACATGAGGATGATTCCACATGAGTTTCATTTTTCCTGGCCCAGTGGTTCTTGAGAAGAATATTTTTATAAGATGCCATTAATTTTTCACTAATTTGTAATTATCTCCCCTCAAAAGAGGGTGTGGCCCTTCATTTGAACAAACTTAACTCTTTATTCAGACTTATAAACCTTTACCCAAGGATACTCTGTGCCAGGTTTGGTTGAAATTGGCCCAGTAGTTCTGGAGAAGAAGATGAAATTGTGAAAAGTTTACAACGACAATGACAGACAACAGACAAAATTTCGATCAGAAAAGCTCACTTGAGCCTTTGGCTCAGGTGAGCTAAAAAAAGGACAACATACACTTTACCAATGCATTTATTTATCTGGTCTTTGACCACCATACTTAACAAGATATTTTGATAAATAAAACATAAATGTCCCAAGAGCAGCCATTTCTAATGGTAAACAGACCTAGATTACACACTTTTTCTGCCAGTGACCTTGAATTTCCTATATGAACTTGAGTTAAGTTCTATCACAGCCTCAGCTTGCAACAATTTTTTTTTTGTCAAGAATGAGCTTCCCGTATTTTTTTTTCTACAGGAAATGGATACCACAGGGATTATACATTTCTTTGAAAGTGACTTTGAACTTGTCAAAATAACCTTGGTTCAAGGAGAGGACACACCTTTGGTCATAAGTATTCTTTATATGAAGTACATGTATTACCTATTAATATATTTCCATTAAAGAGTTATGGTCTGGACAGGAATTATACATTATTCTAAATGAAATCTTAAATTTCAACAAATGGCCTTAGGTCAAGGTCATGACACAACCTTAGATCATAATTAATATTTTTGTGAAGTATGAAATTTTACATTTATTCTACCAGAGATCCTGAACTTGCCCAAATGACTTGGGTCAAGATTATGACAAACTTTTTGATCATACATGTAAGTAATCTATGTCAAATACTGTCTTTCAATTCTCACAATTGGAAAGCAAATGGATCAGACATGAATCATACAGTTTTTTTCTTCCACTGACCTTGAACCTGCCCAAATGACCCTGGAATAAGGCCATGACAAAGCCTCAGGTCATAAGTAATTTATATCAAATACCATCTTTCAATTCTCACAATTAGAGAGTTATATACTGAAACGCAAAAGAAACGCAACATCCTATTTTAGAGGGGAAAATCATATAAAGGATATAATTTTGTATCTAAAAAGTACAGATATCTTCAACATTGTAAGTATCGATAATTTAACGGTTGAATGATTTTCATGCCAAAACCGGAAGTTAAGTTTGAGCCCGCTGAACAGAAATAAAAAATTGCATGTTTAACAAACAATTTGACAAAAATCTGTGTTTTAAGGGTTTGTATCTGTTTATCATAAGTAATGCAGCAATATTTCGCAAAATAAATTCTCCTTTCGTTTCCGGAAGAGATGCCAAGGCTTCCTGAAAATGACTTAAGTACAATTTCAAATGCTCTAGCTGGAAAATCTGAAAATAAACGTGATGGAGAATTGCAGATGCAAAAATGCCCGACAACACGCCTCAACAGGCTCATACGTATCATTAGCATGAATGATAGTCCGTGGACCGGAAGTCCAAGTGTTACTACACTGCGCTAGGTTAGAGAAAATTCGACTTCATCATCTGAAAAACGGACATTTAAAAATGGCAAAGAATATTTTTTTCGCTCAGTTCCCGAGATTGATGAACTTACTGCATCGTGGAAATCAAGCTGCAATTGCTGTGCATGGCAGTCTTCCACGCATAATTGAATGGCCGAGAAGGGGGGTGTTTTAACAGTCATGTGTTACTTTCTAAAGTTAAAAGGTAATCATTTAACATTGTTATCAAATCTTTGATGCTTTTAAATCGAGTTTAACTTAACTGTAATCAGTTTTGAAAATCATTAGTTAAAAGGTTCAAATATTTGTAGATTACTGCTAGTTGCATTTCTTTTGCGTTTCAGTATAGATTAAACATGAATTATAGATACACTTTTTTCCCCAAGGATTTTGAACTTGGCCACATGACCTTTGGTCAAGGTCAACTGTCTCAGGTCATAAGCAATCTTTGTGTCAAGTATGAGTGTTCAATATTTCACCACTACAAGACTAAGACAGAATTTTACATTTTTTTTTTTAAATAACCTTGAAAATTTGGGTCATGATCAAGACACACTCTTAGTCATAAGTAAACTTTATGTTTAGTAGGAATTTCTAATGTTTTTTTCTTTTTAAATAAAATTATGGAACAGACATGAATTTTACACCTATTTTGCAAGTGCCCTTGAACTTCCTCAAATAATCTTGCATTTAAGTCATGTCACAATCATTGATCATATGCATTCAAGTATGATCTTTCAATTTTTCTCTGTTACAAAGTTATGGCACTGGACACAATTGCATTGACAAATTGACAAGATGATTTAAAATATATTTAAGATCACCCAAAATATTCTATAATTTTAGAAAATATACAATCTCTAACCTCTAGACTTCAAAAGTTATCTGGAAGGTAAAGGTTTATGACATACATATAGAATGACAGATTTCCAGACAAGAAAAACACAATTTGCCCTGGATCTTAAAAATATCATAACAAGAGGTGTTTGTGAAACACTTATGTCCCCCACCCCACCCCCAAATAATTGGAATTTTTTCTAAGTCCAAGGGGCATGTCTCTGTCAAAAATTGCTCGATCATACCCAAAACAGAACTTGACCTAGATATTCTTATGATATATCTGTATACCAAATTTCATTTCAGTATGTGCAACCTCTGCTAAGAAAATGGACGGGAACTGCAAATAATTGGAATTTTTCTAAGTCCAAGGGGCATAACTCTGTCAAAAATTGCTCGATTGTATCCAAAACAAAACTTGAACTAGATATTTTTATGTCTGAGTAATCTGTATGCCAAATTTCATTTCAGTATGTACAACCTCTGCAGAGAAAGTGAACAGAAACTGCAAATAATTGGAATTTTTCTAAGTCCAAGGGGCATAACTCTGTCAAAAATTGCTCGATCGTACCCAAAACAGAACTTGACCTAGATATTCTTATGATAAATCTGTATATCAAACTTCATTTCAGTATGTGCAACCTCTGCAAAGAAAATGAATGGAAACTGTTGGTGGACCAACAGACCGACCGACAGACAGCAGCAAAGCAATATGCCCTCCCTTCTTCAAAGGGGGGGGGGGGCATAAAAATAGCACATTAGAGTGAAAAAGAAACCCTGAAAAGCATGATTGGCTGCAAAAACATTGTAATGGTTATCTCACACATATCTTACATTATATACATATACTACAAAATGTTTGGGGAGGAGATGGGGAGGGTAAGTGATCCATGCAGTGTTAATGTAGAGATAATTCAAAGTGTCTGGAGACAAGAGGCCCAAGGGCCTTAACAGTCACCTGGGTACATGTATAACATAGCTCTGTAAAGGCTTGCCAAGTGTCTCTTGACATTTACAACATTAAAGAACTTGATTTACAGAAATATAATCAATTAACCTGCAGGAGATCTACATAATTAAACCTATACATACTTTTCTGATACATTCAGAAAAATGCTGGTTCAATGGACACTGAATACAACCTTTTTTTCATTTCCTAAAAGTAGGTAAAAAGTAAAGGAAAAACTCACCCATAATCCTGCATATTTAAAAGCTATAGGAAGAGCTAAGATCCCTGGACCAATGTTTCCCTTCAGCAAGTTCATAAGAGTTTTACATGACCTAGAAATAGTTTCAAGGAGGTAACACAAAAGGGAAATAACTGCATAAAAAAAATATAAGCATGAAATAAACTGAAATTCTTTATTAACTGATTTTTGGATGAATTTAATAAGCAGCCACCAGTTCTATACTTACGAGGTTCTGTTTTCACTGCTGTAGTCTTTACTCTCTTCTATACTTATGAGGTTCTCTTTTCACTACTGAAGTCATTACTCTGTTCTATACTTATGAGGTTCTCTTTTCACTACTGAAGTCTTTACTCTGTTCTATACTTATGAGGTTTTGTTTTCACTACTGAAGTCTTTACTCTGTTTTATACTTACGAGGTCCTGTTTTCACTGCTGAAGTCTTTACTCTGTTCTATACTTATGAGGTTTTGTTTTCACTACTGAAGTCTTTACTCTGTTCTATACTTATGAGGTTCTGTTTTCACTTCTGAAGTCTTTACTCTTTTCTATACTTATGAGGTTTTGTTTTCACTGCTGAAGTTTTTACTCTGTTCTATACTTATGACGTTCTGTTTTCACTTCTGAAGTCTTTACTCTGTTCTATACTTATGAGGTTTTGTTTTCACTGCTGAAGTTTTTACTCTGTTCTATACTTATGAGGTTCTGTTTTCACTGCTGAAGTCTTTACTCTGTTCTATACTTACGAGGTTTTGTTTTCACTTCTGAAGTCTTTACTCTGATCTATACTTACGAGGTTCTCTTTTCACTACTGAAGTCTTTACTTTGTTCTATACTTACGAGGTTCTGTTTTCACTGCTGAAGTCTTTACTCTGTTCTATGTATACTTACGAGGTTTTGTTTTCACTGCTAAAGTCTTTACTCTGTTCTATACTTACGAAGTTCTGTTTTCACTGCTGAAGTCTTCACTATGTTCTATACTTACGAGGTTTTGTTTTCACTGCTGTAGTCTTTACTTTGTTCTATACTTACGAGGTTTTGTTTTCACTTCTGAAGTCTTTACTCTGTTCTATGTATACTTACGAGGTTTTGTTTTCACTGCTGAAGTCTTTTCTCTGTTCTATGTATACTTACGAGGTTTTGTTTTCACTGCTGTAGTCTTTACTCTGTTCTGTGTATACTTACGAGGTTTTGTTTTCACTGCTGAAGTCTTTTCTCTGTTCTATGTATACTTACGAGGTTTTGTTTTCACTGCTGTAGTCTTTTCTCTGTTCTATGTATACTTACAAGGTTCTGTTTTCACTGCTGAAGTCTTTACTCTGTTCTATACTTACGAGGTTCTCTTTTCACTACTGAAGTCTTTACTCTGTTCTATACTTATGAGGTTTTGTTTTCACTACTGAAGTTTTTACTCTGTTCTATACTTATGAGGTTCTGTTTTCACTACTGAAGTCTTTACTCTGTTCTATACTTATGAGGTTTTGTTTTCACTGCTGAAGTTTTTACTCTGTTCTATACTTATGAGGTTCTGTTTTCACTGCTGAAGTCTTTACTCTGTTCTATACTTACGAGGTTCTGTTTTCACTGCTGAAGTCTTTACTCTGTTCTATGTATACTTACCGGGTTCTGTTTTCACTGCTGTAGTCTTTACTCTGTTCTATACTTATGAGGTTTTGTTTTCACTGCTGAAGTCTTTACTCTGTTTTATACTTATGAGGTTCTCTTTTCACTACTGAAGTCTTTACTCTGTTCTATACTTATGAGGTTTTGTTTTCACTACTGAAGTCTTTACTCTGTTCTATACTTATGAGGTTCTGTTTTCACTTCTGAAGTCTTTACTCTGTTCTATACTTATGAGGTTCTGTTTTCACTTCTGAAGTCTTTACTCTGTTCTATACTTATGAGGTTTTGTTTTCACTGCTGAAGTTTTTACTCTGTTCTATACTTATGAGGTTCTGTTTTCACTACTGAAGTCTTTACTCTGTTCTATACTTATGAGGTTCTGTTTTCACTGCTGAAGTCTTTACTCTCTTCTATACTTACGAGGTTTTGTTTTCACTGCTGAAGTCTTCACTATGTTCTATACTTATGAGGTTTTGTTTTCACTGCTGAAGTCTTTACTCTGTTCTATACTTACGAGGTTCTGTTTTCACTGCTGAAGTCTTTACTCTGTTCTATACTTATGAGGTTTTGTTTTCACTGCTGAAGTCTTTACTCTGTTCTATACTTACAAGGTTCTGTTTTCACTGCTGAAGTCTTTACTCTGTTCTATACTTATGAGGTTTTGTTTTCACTGCTGAAGTCTTTACTCTGTTCTATACTTATGAGGTTTTGTTTTCACTACTGAAGTCTTTACTCTGTTCTATGTATACTTACAAGGTTCTGTTTTCACTGCTGAAGTCTTCACTATGTTCTATACTTATGAGGTTTTGTTTTCACTGCTGAAGTCTTTTCTCTGTTCTATACTTATGAGGTTCTCTTTTCACTACTGAAGTCTTTACTCTGTTCTATGTATACTTACAAGGTTCTGTTTTCACTGCTGAAGTCTTCACTATGTTCTATACTTATGAGGTTTTGTTTTCACTGCTGAAGTCTTTACTCTGTTCTATACTTATGAGGTTCTCTTTTCACTACTGAAGTCTTTACTCTGTTCTATGTATACTTACAAGGTTCTGTTTTCACTGCTGAAGTCTTTACTCTGTTTTATACTTACGAGGTTCTGTTTTCACTGCTGAAGTCTTTACTCTGTTCTAGGATTGTATCTGCATCCTCCCCACTCTCTTCGTAACTGGCCACTGCCTTGGAGATCAGTTTCTCTTTAACCTCCTCATCATTGTGATCCATGGTTTCTGTATAAAATGATGATAAAGATCTTTAATACCAATTACATGTCTCTACATTTTTTCAAAATTATTAATTCACAACAAATAATTGAAAGTAATAAAATTAATTAAGTTGTATAATTATTTAAAATTGGGTAACATCAATATATATTAAATAACTGCAGCATAGATTCCTTAACTCCGTTTGTCAAACATTAACAGCCTTAAGTATTTTTTTTTCAGGGATGGACAACCACCTAGTTTTATGATCATAGATTCTCTGCTTGAGGTAACTAAGCTAAACTGTATATTGCCCATGTAGGGACTATCCAAGAAGAGATACCCACAAAGAATCTAATCAAATAGTCTACAGCATAAAATCTCAAGAAATTTATCTGAATGATTCAGAATTCTGAAGTAGGTTCAACTTTACAAACTCTAAAATGATCAACACTTTGAATACCACACCACTATGGAATCATTTTAATTTGCCGAGGTCAATGTTTGTGGGCATTAAAAATTATTACTGGTTCATGACGACAAGATTTGGTGGATAATCTGTATTTACGGAGGCTATACATGTAATGAACCAATATGTTGACAAAGTTATGGTTCAGGCAATGTAAATTGTAGGTAAGAGTGACCCACAAAATGCAAAACATTGGCCCCTCCATGAACAATGATGACTTCGCAGTATGGTCTGTTCTTTTTAAAACTTTCAAAGATAAAAGGTAGTTATCAAAACAGATAATAGTATCAACTATGGAAACACCTAAACAGTTTATAGTGTCAACTAAAACACTTGAACAGAGTGTAAACTAGCTAAACAACTAAACAGAATATAGTGCCAACCATATGAACAGATAATAGTGTCAACTAAAACACTTAAACAGATAATAGAGCAAACTAATTATACAGGTCAACCTTCTAAACACCTAAAAAGATTATAGAATCCACTACCTAAATGCCTTATTATTAATAAATAAAAGTCTCAACAAGCCAAACAAAAAAAATAAACAGATTATAGTATCAACTATCCAAATGACTCAATAGATTATGGTGTCAACTATCCAAATGACTAATCAGATTATAGAATCAACTATTCAAATGACTAAACAGATTATAGTGTCAACTATACAAATCTATATTTAGTTGATTGTGATTATTGATCATTTAAATTCTGTTTGCAAGAAAAATGTCAAGAATGTTTTTTTTCTGTTAAGGCCTTCATCTTTGAGACATTTTACCCTTGACTAAACAGACTATATTATCAACTATCCAAATGACTAAACAGACTATAGTATCAACTATCCAAATGACTAAACAGACTATAGTATCAACTATCCAATTGACTAAACAGCAGGGATTTATCAGTACCTTCTCAGGGGCCGAAATTCGGCCCCATTCCCAATTGAAAATGAGCTCAGTTTTTCCCAATTTGGTTGTATTTTTTCCCAATTGGTGAACAATGCTTTTATATTTAATTTTCTTGGAAAAACACAGAGTGAAATTGTCAGATTGTCTGTAATTTTCATCTATTTAACTCATTTAGCAAAGCTACAGTCATAATACATGTTTAACAACACTGAAAAAACATCGCCAACTTTTAATCCGAATTTCCTCCGTTTTTCTGAAAATGGTGATATTGTGTAATTGTATAGATTTACTAAGTTATTTCCACCTACTCAAATGATCTACGAATTAATGGTAAGGACTGTAAGCATTATTTCAGATAGAAAAATATATTTTCAGTGTTTTAATACATATTAAAAGAGGATTTTGAGAAAATATGTACTTTAGTATAATTTTTTGCAGGAGGTTTATATTTTCCAGAAACAGATTCTATAATGACCTAAATTAAAATCTCATACACACATGTACTACCCTAAGTTGTATCAATACTTTATACTCATTTAGTAAATTTTACTTTATTAGTCTAGTATTCATAATTGATCTTGTATGATGAAGTTGGATCATATTTAATTGTCTGTTTGGTTGCCCAAATTAGAGTTCATGCTGAAATATTAAATGAATTACACTTGAATACATGATTTAAGCAACATTTTTAATTTTTCCCAATTTCATCAAATAGCCGATAATTTTTTCCCAATTCCCCAAAAATGGCGTTTCCCAAAATACGCTGATAAATCCCTGAACAGACTATAGTATCAACTATCCAAATGACTAAACAGACTATCCAAATGACTAAACAGACTATAGTATCAACTATCCAAATGACTAAACAGACTATAGTATCAACTATCCAAATGACTACACAGACTATAGTATCAACTATCCAAATGACTAAACAGACTATAGTATCAACTATCCAAATGACTAAACAGATTATAGTATCAACTATCCAAATGACTAAACAGATTATAGTATCAACTATCCAAATGACACAGGCGCTTGATGTTTTTAACCTTTCTTTTCATAAATAAAAAATTCCCCATACTATAATAACTATAGTATGGGGATTTTTTTATTTATGAAAAGAAAGGTTAAAAATGTCAAGCGCCTGTGCCAAATGACTAAACAGACTATAGTATCAACTATCCAAATGACTAAACAAACTATAGTATTAACTATCCAAATGACTAAACAGATTATAGTGTCAACTATCCAAACAACTAAAAAGGTTATAGTGTCAACTATTCAAACAACTAAAAAGATTATAGTATCAACTATCCAAACAACTAAAAAGAGTATAGTATCAACTATCCAAATAACAAGAGGCCCATGGGCCACATCGCTCACCTGAATAACTTTGCCCATGATTTCCCCCTTGTAATACCTACTGTGACCCCACCCTGCCCCCAGGGGCCATGATTTTGACAATTTAATTAGAATCTACACTACCCCAGGATGCTTCCACATAAGTTTCAGCTTTTCTGGCCCAGTGGTTCTTAAGAAGAAGATTTTTAAAAAAATTTCAAATATATTTCAATGTAAAACTTGGATTCCCTATTGTGGCCTTGCCCTACCCCCAAGGGTCATGATTTTAAGAATCTAGAATCTACACTACCCCAGAATGCTTTCACATAAGTTTCAGCTTTTCTGGCCCAGTGGTTCTTGAGAAGAAGATTTTTTAATGACCCCACCCTATTTTTGCCTTTTCTTGATTATCTCCCCTTGCAATGGGACTTGGCCCTTCATTTTACCAATTTAAACTCCCCTTCACCCAAGGATGCTTTATACCAAGTTTGGTTAAAATTGGCCCAGTGATTCTTCAGAAGAAGTTGAAAATGTGAAAAGTTTACAGACAGATAGACTGACAGCTAGACAGACAGATGGACTGACGGACGGAGGATGGACAATGGGTGATCAGAAAAGCTCACTTGAGCTTTCAGCTCAGGTGAGCTAAAAAGATTATAGTATCAACTATGTAAACGACTTAACAGATTATAGTATCAACTATTAAAATGACTAACCAGATAAAAGTATCAACTATCCAAATTACTAAACAGATTATAGTGTCAACTATCCAAACACATTAACAGACTATAGAGCCAAATATTAAAATACCTAGATAGATTATAGTGTCAGCTATTCAAACACACACCTCGAGAACGGAATCAACTCTCTAAACAATAGATTGCATTGGCATGACAATATATCTAGGCATTTAAATATCATTAAAAAAAGATAAAGATAACATTAATTCCAATGTTTTAATGAACATTTTGGTTTTATTCAATTTACAGGAAAAAAATACCTAGATAGATTATAGTGTCAGCTATCCAAACACACACTTGAGAACGGAATCAACTCTCTAAACAATAGATTGCACTGACATGACAATATATCTAGGCATTTAAATATCATTAAAAAAAAGATAAAGATAACATTAATTCCAATATTTTAATGAACATTTTGGTTTTATTCAATTTACAGGAAAAAAGAATCCCAAAATAAGTGAACTGTATCTGCATAAGCCTTGCAGAGTGTATCGATATTACTACATGAGCAGCATAGTGTCTGTAGACAGAGAGTTTCAATTGTTAACATGATATTCATCATCGTCCAAAAAAAAAAAAACACCAGTATGACCTACTAAGTCAGAGGGGCTTGTTCCCCAAGTGAAAAATATTCATAAAAAAAATACAGAAAATGTAATTTTTATTGTTATTGTTGCAAGTTTTTACACTCCAAGAACAAACCCTTTGTAATTTCTCTTCAGAGAAGTGGAGTACACATCTCTAAGAGAATAACCCCTTTGATTAATGGAAAAAATCTCACCCCGACGAAATTTTACAACTCTGTTAAAATGCAATTTACCTCGTCGTTGTAGTGTACTAATCTTACCTTAGAAAAATTAAGGTGAAACCATGCAGACATCAGCTTTGAAGTAGGCCTAGAGCACATACAGCTGATCATCACATGACCCTGAAAACAAATAAAACTGTCCTTATGTCGAGTGTTAACTCACTGCTAAGTACTTAACACTTCATGCATACGGATAATAAAAATTGTGCCATATCGACTGATTAAATCACATTGACATTGACTAATCATCTAATGCTTTCACTTTCTTCAACAAATAATGGAAGGCCGATCCCGATCAAATTAAAAATCTACATGACCTTGATTTCCTTTTTTTTTTTTTTTAAAAAAAAAAAAGAAAGAAAGAAAGAGAAGGAAAAAAGAGAAATCACCAAAGAAACTTAACAAAAAAATCACTGAAGAATCATTAAAAAAAAATAGAGTGCAAGGAAGAAAATCATGTCATCCTTTACTAAGAAAAATTGTAAACCAAAGTTATTGACAATTAACATTGAATAAAATACCTTGTGCGAGGTGGTAAAGTCTACAGTCAGGAATCGCCGGATCTGCAGTAATTTGAATTTTAGATTTGGCTCGCTTTTATCACAAAAGAAACGATCTGATTTGATATTTCATTATGACAATAGCCAATGAGAAGTCATAGCCAATAGTAAAGCAAAGAAAGTGTTCATCAACTCAATCCACCTGCGCACACAAACTAGCTTAACTTTTATTCTCAATGACATAGTTAATTTATTTGGAATAGAAACATTTATTCAAAATGAGAAATTGTAATAAATATATTTCATATATATAAATCTGCCCACAGTACAATTTTCAGATTTCAATAATTTTTCTATTTCTAATGTTTTATGTGCGTCTCCTATTGTGTAGTTATTATTTAGGAAAAATACATCATATATTTTTCATCTGGTTGTGTAAGAGTTTTACAAATAGGTGCCCATGTACGACAGCCAGCTGCTTACTGCCAACTGCTACTGTTTATATACTGTATCAATTAAGAGTACAAATATATCTTAAATAAAGACAACCTATGTCTACATGTGAAACTCAAAACACCACCAATGTACTAAATGGGAAGAATTGCTCTTCATTATATGTTGTATTCTGTCTGTTATCTTATCTGTAATTATACATGTTATATGTTTATGCCCATTGGGCCCTGATTTGGTAATAAATCCTATTCTATTCTATTCTATTCTGTTTATAGATGATATTGCCTGTTTTGTTATCCCGGTTTTAATTAATATCTTTAATGCCTGAATAAATCCTATGAAAGAAAAGAACGGCGAACGATAGTATTGTTCTGCCAACAACCTCCAAGTTTAATTTTCAAAAGTTAACTAATTTGAATGATTTTTCATATTTATATAGATATATATATAGGAATTTTCTTAAAACGTAACTTATTTGGAAAAAAAGGGATAAGTATTCAATTTTGGTAAAACTTGTGGTTTTCACAATAGAAAACGAAAACGAAAATTTATTTTTAAAACATCACCCTCCCCCCTCTTGAAACAACAATTTCTCTTTACAGGTATGAATTAATTGCTATTTCACAAATTCATACCCAAAGGTTTTGTTGTTTCACGAAGGGGATTGGGGGGTATGTTTACCGACTAAAAACAGGAAAATAGTCATTTCATTACCAATTTCAAATGAGATAAAAAATAAAAATAATGTACTTTATCAATCTGATATGTTGAAGTAATTGAAAATCTGGTGATGTTTTAAAGCCTGATTTCAATTGATATAATTTGCTAACCATATGCAAGGAGTTATAAATAAGAGCAATTAACTTTTTTGACACTGGTTTTCAAAATTATCAGTCCATTTTTTAATGAACTTTTCTCTGCACTCAAACAAGTTTTAATGGCCTAATTGAATTGCTATTTATATTTAAATGGATGTTAAATGTAGCCTGGAATCGAGAGTTCTAACAATAATAACAAAAACTGGCGGATTTAAACATTTTTGAACTGTGAAGGCGAGGAAGTAGTAAATCGGAAGAAGGAATATTTCCTCTTAAAAACAAAACATTTAATTCCCACATTTCCTTGCAGGCAAATAAATCAATAGTTTTTGACGTGGATGGGGGATAATCCAGCACTATCCTTTAGTGGTTCTTTTTACCTATGAAAAGTAGATGTGAGTTGTGAATTTTCATATGTGTCTTATCTAAATCGTTTTTATGGCTAATGTCAGATCTTAAAAACATTGGTGGTGGTGGGGTGGGGTGGTGAATCCCCAGTTAATTGCCAACATATACTGTACAGTAGTGTACCCTCAATAATGATACCTGTGACCTTTTTATTACTTGTCAAGGGATTTCTGTTGGGTTTTGCCCCCCCCCCCTCCCGTGTAATTCTTCTTCTCTTTTTTATTTTCTTTTTCTTTCATTACTTGCAATATGTATTCTTTCTTTTTTCTACTTACATTATGAATAGTTTATAATGGACAAGGTGCGTTTGGTGCAAAATTCGGCCCCGTGTCAAAATTAAATATATTCCTCAAAACTCTTTGAGAGAGTATATATTTTCATGAAATTATCAATATATGCATGTACAAAACTTCATTTTTGTTTTATATAAACGTAAAGGTAGCATGGTTGACGCTAACATTGCGATATTTTGACGTTGCTTTAAGCGACGTCATGAACAAGAATTTAACGTCATGTTTTAAAATAAATCCAGATTACACATATATTTTATTATGTACTTTAATTAAATCTCATTTTCATAAACGTACATTTCGATGTATTGGTATACATGTGATAACATATCATGCTTTTTAAATTATTTTTCATAATTAAAGACAAATCTTTAAATCAATTGGTATGGTTTGCTTTGAAAATTTTTGAATCATAAGGGAAAAAAGGGGTGTACATATACAGTACATTCTTAGCGGATCTCTCACTTTCCGCCCCTCGGATTGGCACAAGCGAAGTTATTGGCTTTGTTTGTTAACTTTACGAACCGTAATTGCCAAGCTTTATAGAAAAGACTTAAAGACCGTGAGACTTTTTCTTGAATTTTGATTGCAGGTGTTCAAGAAAATGATTTTATTTGTAATAATATGTCAGTATGGCTCGCAAGAGTTTGGTCCTGCTGCTTATCTGCATTATATTTTCAAAAACAAAAACAAAAACAAAACAAAACAACCCCCACCCCCCATCCCCCGTGTTTACTTCTCCGCAAGTACTTGACATTGCTTTTCTGTGAATTGATTTACATAAGTTTACCTGTGTCTATATTATAATATTTAATTTGCGCTGTCCAGAGGCAGAGCTAATCCTTGAAAAAAGAATGCATGCGAACCTTCGTTTATTCTTTCTTTCTGAATCAGCAGTTTCGGAAATATTCCAACATCGAAGTTATCAGCTATTTATAATATCTTTTTTTTTTCAAAACATGCAGCTTGTTCCGACATGAATTTATTCTATAGGATCTATGGATTATTGGACAGACAGCATGTTTTAAGGGGGCTGGGGGGGGGGGGGGGGTCAACAAATTAACCATCAGATATAATTTATGTTTTTTAGATATTATATCTTAAGCTGTCAATTATCATTTGGCAAAGAAAAATTCATACATTTTAGTTTTAAAATTTGATCATTTTTGTATATCTTTATATGGAGCTCTTCTTCTAAAGGAGATCAATATAGTCTAAAAATGGCCACGACCACCCAGCCCTCTTAACGATGTTTTATACGTGTTAACCTATACATCTTCACAATGTCAAAGCTTTGTGATATCGTTTCTCTTCAAACCTTTTTAAATAGGAAGGATTTCACAAAACCTTGACATTGTGAAGATGTATAAGTTAATACGTAGATGACCTACAATCTACTTAGTTTTTTAACGATGTTTAAGAGACTTAATTCATTAATTAACATTAATTCATCCCCGTGGTAGAGGGGGAGCAAAAGGTACTACCTGGTTCATAGAGGATTTCGCGGAAAAGAAAAAAAAAATACTAGTACTTCACGTTAAAAAAATATTTTTTGCGGAAAAGCAGAGTCGACTAGCGGAAAAATGTAACAGCGCAATTGAGGAATTTTCCTGTAATTTTTCTTAAAACAGGGAGTGAGGTTTTCCATACCAACTCAAAAAAAAACAAACCTTATTTAAAAAAAAAAAAAAAAACTAACCCAAACCTGAAAAACCTATTTTGAAAGGGGGGTGTTACTTTACCTTCCTACATATCTTACAAACTTTACAAAGTTTTCTTAACCCTTCCCCCTTCATATTTTTGGTATTTTACTAAATGAATTTCATACAAGTGGTGGGTGTTGGGGTGGGGTCCGGATACCCCCCCCCCCCTGCGGATCCCTTACTACTTCCTCTAAGTAATCTATACCTTTGTGACGACTACTAAGCAAGAGTGTGTTTTAAGGAAGCTCTAAACGCCAATTAGGAAAAAAACATTTTTTAGACTTTGAGAACATTTTATCATATAAAGGTGTACATTATGAGCTAATCTAGTTCATTTCAAGGATAAAGTGCCTGCCTTAAATCATTTCCCCAGGAAAATTGTTCAAAGACAATCAAGTATTAATGAACAGATTTCACTATTGTTTACTTATATCGGTAATCGATATGTAAATACTGTATTCAATTACTTTATCTTGTTCTAATATAATGTTAAGAATACTTCAATTTAATATTGTGAACCTAAGTTAACCCTTGAAAGTAGATGGCCTTTTGTTCATAACAAACAGAAAGCAATATTAATTTAATTTTGTTATTCGGGGGAAAGGAAGCAGACAGTACAGTTGATAATTTTTTTTACATGTTTTTTTTTTTTTCGGGGGGGGGGGGGGTTCTATTCAATGAGAACTTTGATTACATGAAATATTTATAGTTCCTGTATCACATATAGGCTTAGAAATTAACTCTTTACAACTTACTGAACTGTGACCCAACATACACTTAATGTTCACGTCATAGAAATATGACGTTACCTTTTCCCGGCAAGCACTTTAAAGCGAGGTACAAGTTTCTCTAAAGTTTAGCGTAGATAATTATGACGTAATATTTCAATAAGATTATAACTTTTCTTATTTTATGAGATTTTAGCAAGTATAAATTAGAAGGGAATTGGCATTAAATTGAAGATTAAATTTACTTTTGAAAGTGCGTGAAAATGCGTGATTGCGGGGAAACGGTATATGCGTG